CCGGAGAAAACCCACGAGGTTGGACAGGTGACCCTACTCCTTGTCACGTACAACCGGGGAATCGAATCGGCCATCCAACCCCCCTGTGCTTTCGGACGATTTTAATGCCACCGCCTTTAAGATACCTTAGTGCCCGTCTAACATGGTGGATATATGACTGCGAGGAATATGAATTTTAAATTGCATATGATTAGCATCGTGTAACATTTATTGTATTGATTAGGCTAGTTGTAATTAAGTATATAGATAATATAAGTATGTGTATTACATATATTGATAGATAAAACTAGTTTCTATGTGTAAAGATCAAGGAGACCGATGTCTTTATCTTGCCTACAGGTAAGGAGAACAGAACGACAACAAAGAGATGTTATATCAAGATAGGTAGAAACTGATATCAGTAATGATAATATGGAACAATAAATGATTAAATAAAGAAATATTATAATTCTCACGAAGGAATGAGACCGGATCGTCCTGATTTATTGAGATGGGATATGTCACAGCGGTTAACGTACTTGAGATAAGATAATACACGTGCATGTTTGATCCTAACTGCAATATTGTAGCGTGGTTGTCTTTACAACTGGTGAGATGAATTGAAATGGGATTTAACGTCCTATCGCTCTGCTCCGACTTGGCTAATGAGGACGGGCATACGCCATGAGGGCAATTTTGTCCGGAGACCGACACTACGGCCTACTCTTATCGAATTCTTACAGCAGCCCCCCCCCCCCCCCATCAAGAATTGCTTCCGCCGGCCCTGTACAGTCAAGGGTTCTTTTACGTGCACGCCAAGGTGTACACGGGACTAACTATAATGAAATGTAAGTCACCTGGCGAATGACATTAATACTTTATATATTACGACGAATTTAAATGGATAAGGATGTTCTCGTGACAGCGAGATTGATTTGGGCAAGACGAATGATTGTGTAGAAACTAATGTGTATACTATAGAAATCAAATTGACAATATATTTGAACTGAAATCCACGAAACCAATAATATCAGTTTCAATTAACGGAATATATGCATTGAGAAACGCAGCTGTCCTGGCTAAATTAATCCCTATACATTACATATTGCCAAATGAACCACTGCAGATTGTAGAAACATTTGCTTCACCATAAGACGCAATAGTAAATACAGAGCATCGGTTTATACACACAATAAAACAATTCAAAAGCTCATTTTAAAGCGGAAAACCGTTAGTACTTTGCAGATTAGTAAAAAATAGTTTACTATTCGAAATAAATTGATTAACACTGGGCATGTTAATGTTAATCCTATCGTGGTCTTACAATGTCCGCGATTTATTATTTATTTATTTATTTTTTTGGTGTCATCGTTTTCTCGGATTTATATTTGTTGTGTGTGGTGCGATGCACGCCTCGGTCTATAAAAGATCCAAATAAGTGGTCATTTTCGGTTAGATCTATTTGATAAGGCCAACTTCAAGTTTGGTGAAAAGTCACGAGATGTAAACAAGGTTAGCGCTAAACCCAACCCTAAACCTAACCCTGGACCTAACCCTTAGCTACAATCTCACCAACAATCACCTGTCCTAACCTTATTTACATCTCAATAACCTTGACGAAAATTGAGCTGGCCTTAACAAATAGATTTAGCCGTTATTTCCCGATGAGTTTAGAATTCGGGCGGGTTATTCCAGTTCCATATGCCTCAATACGCGTGACGCTCCAAGAAGTTTTACATTGTTGTACACCCTTTATCATGGACATGTGGTTGGCGTCTTTACCAATTTTGTTTAATGGTGGATACCATAAAATTATATTGAATGAAACATATAGGCTACCAGCAAATGGGTTTTGTTTTTGGCGAGATCTTCTCCGACGTGGTCTCCCTTGTCGGTGGTGCAGGGCGGTGGGCATGTCAAGTAAAAGAACCCTTGAAAGATAGAATTTCCCTCATCGCACCCTTTATGGTGTAAGGTCGTCTTCATTAGCCCAGTTGGTGCAGAAAAGTAGGGCGTTAAATCTTATTTCATTTCATTTCATTTCATTTGTGTGAAATGTTCTTCAACTAATATCGACCTGATTCTGATTCATGTATCCTGATAACTAAGAAGAAACCAGTCGACTTTCTTTCTACAGACAACTGATTGTTAATGTTAAGATACCATGGGGTCATTTATACAACACTTCTAAACAGACGGGCGACTTTTGATAAGATTGCGACACTGGCGTCTGAGGTAATGTCCTCGCCGTATTTATATTTGTTAGCCGATAGGAAATAAACATTGCCAAACATTTAAGTGTTCAAAGGAGATCTCGGGGCTATTTTTGGACAGACCTAGGATAGGATGTATACATTGTACAAGCTAAAACACATTTCAAACGAACATGATAATTTCGCCCGATGGATATATTCCCAAAAAGTTGAATATTAAAGCTATTTTCGTAATCTGAACTGAATGTCCGTACCAAGACCTGTCCGGATTATTGACAGTTTAGTTAGTCGTGTTGTCTGTCAGGGTGTATCTATTTTAAGTGAGTTTCTGGCAACGATTCAAATGGAAATGAAATGGGGTTTAATATCCTAATTTTTGCGGGTAGTTATATTATTTTTAAAATTGTCTGGACAAATAATTGCAAATTTTTTTTTTATTTTATCTTCCTTCCCTAAATATTGTTTTCCTCGGTCAGTTTGTTTATTTTGAAAACTATAGCACTGGTTTCATCAAATTTGATATACAGAAAATTCAGTTTATATTTTAAGGCATCTTTGGTTGTTGAAACGTTTTTAATGTGTTTATACAGCAGAGTTATTTTCTCTAGTTGATATTGTCTTGATCAGATTCTTTTATGTAAACATCGAGCCCATGGAACCTTCAAAGTAGTTTCGGGTATTTTGGGTTTGGTTCCGTTAAAAAGAGCCTTTTACTTGGAAATTGTTTTTTTCCAACTTCGACGCCACAATGTGTGTGTTTACTTTCCTACCAAGTAAAAGAAGGGGCGGAGTATAACTGATAAAGGATTATTTCGGTTACAAATAAATCTGTAGTGGTGATAACTGAGTTGCCATCATTAAGGCAACAATCCGAAATGGAAATTGAAACTTTAAAAAATTCTAGTGTCAATATTCCACATGTTGAGGTGTTTTTCTTTTATTCTCTATTTCTTGTCCTCGATCTGTTTATTTCGAATTTTGAAATTACTAATATGTTATATAAAACAAACCTTTGACGGAAGGCCGTGCGGATTTACAGGCCCCGGACTGTATAGCGCAGTTGACACTTACGACTGGCCCCCGAATCCATTCACTTGATTTGATATTGTTCTTGCAAAGTCTTTGTAGTTTGTGTCTTGTCCGCAGGTATGGCTTATTGGTTTTGTTAGCGTGTAGTGTGGTGCTCATGCACATACTAATATTTCCCACAAACGGATCTACGGCAACACCGGCGGGGACCATTCGCAATTTTGGGGTTCTTCATTTCTGCAAAGTGAGATAAGTTACACGTAACATTACCAGCAGTATGGTTGGGCGTTGGGGGTAGTATGTTTAATTAGTGCGCCTATTTAATCACCAATCTGTGACAATCGTAATCAAAGTATGTTTGTTGTTTCCAAATATAATTTATATGTTCTGTAATCCCTTATATTAATACAACATTCTGAATACAAGAGATACGCTACCCACAGTGAACTGTTATACAATACCGCGCTGCCTTTTTCATTGGAATTGACATACTTATAAAAGTATTTCATTTTGTTCTGCAAGATAGTAAAATAAATACGTAATGGAGTTCACACTTTTTATTAAAAGCAACCAAGAAGAGTTGAAGGATCGTGTTAGCCAACTGACGTAAACCTGGCAATTTTTAAGCCAAGCTTACGATGCAAGTTCGAACATTTTCTTCACCTATGTTAGTCTGTTCAAAACTTCTTGATTAATCTTTTGTGTTATTATTTGCCAACCCCCATTTCCAGGCAACAAAACATACCACACAACAGCTAAATCGTCATAGGGGCAACAAGGGTTGTTGCATATTTAATCTTTTGTAGGTAATGGGGGAGGGGCATTTACAAGATAATTTCATACAGATCAGATTATAATTCAAGTCCTTTGAGGGTTCACAAGGTGCTACAAACTGAAACAAGGGCCTTAACTCTGGAAGTAATATACAAAAATTGTTGAAATTCAACAGTATTTTACGTTTTACTAATTTAAATAATGCATATAAATTTCATATAGATCAGAGGATGAGTTGGAGCGTTCACAAAGTGCAACTATGTGAAACAAGGGCCATAATATACAAAAATTGCTTAAATTCAATAGGCTTCTTTGTTTCACTAATTTAAACGATGCATATAAATTTCATACTAGATCAGATGATAACTTTCATCAGTTGGAGCATTCACAAGGTTCAATAAAGTGAAATAAGGCCATAACTCTAGACGTAATTAATGGAAATTGCTGAAATTCAATAGACTTCTTCGTTTCACTAATTTAAAAAAAACTATATCAATTTCATACAGATCAGATGATCACTTTTGTTGCTGGAGCGTTCACAGGGTTAAACAAAGTGAAACAAGAGCCATAACTCTAGACTTAATTAATGGAAATTGCGTACACAAAGTGAAACAAGGGTCATAACTCCAGAAGAAATTAACAGAAATTATTGAAATTAAAATATGTTTCTTTATCTCACTAATGTAAACAACAGAAGAAATTAACAGAAATTATTGAAATTAAAATATGTTTCTTTATCTCACTAATGTAAACAACATATATGAAATTTCAAAACAATCAGATGATAAATGTAGTCTGTCTGTAGAGTGTTCACAAAAAAATGTGGACGACGGACCGGCGGACAGGGGTGAAGACAATATATGACCGCATTTCCATGTGGGCATATAAAAACTTATAGACCGTGTTCTTAAAGTTTTACTTTTAACACATACCGGTACTGGTATTTTTTGATTACTCATAAGGGAACAGTCTCTGATGTGGTAAGGCAAACATACACATGCTATCTACATTAATAAAAAAAGTCATTTATTCTCAACGTTTTTGTCCAATTACAATTTCTTAACATAACAATTATTCAGTTTAGATTAATTTGACTCAAAGGCAGAGTTGAATTGATTTTTCTTCAGCTTCTCTTAAGAATAAAATGCATTGAATACAAGATATTCACTGTCATGTACATATACTATAGAATTGTTGTTGTAATATCTCAAGATTTAGATACTGTAGATGGTAAATTGTTGTTTTAATGTCTCATGATTTGGATACTGTAGATAGTAAATTGTTGTTTTGATGTCTCATGATTTAGATGCTGTAGATAGTAAATTGACATTTTATATAGAATTTCACACTAGTCTCATGATCGCCATCTGAAAGAAGAAGGATATATTATATCTTTTGGTTTTGCCAGATCATCACTGTACTTTCTGTCTGCCATTTTGTTCTATATCTGACCCAAGTAAGAATGGTCAGGTTAACATTTAAAACTCATGTAAATCATAACTCAGGCAATATGTAGTATTATACCATCAAAAAATAAATCCATGCAATACTTAATGCCACTAAATATTACTAGACACATGACCACTATTTTGTCATTATAAGTTATTATAAGCTTATTTCTGATTGAGTAGGAAAGGAAATAAGGAAATAAATTATTTGATAATGTATTGCTCATCATCTGTTGGAGTGGGGAAGGATACAGGCATATCTTATAAGGAAATATTTGATAAGGCGTACAGATTTATAATAAAGAAACTCTGATCTGTGTTAATTAGCTCTAGAGGTACGGTAAGTACATTTACTGAATGAACAGCCTCCCCATGAACCATCCTACCTGAGGTAACCTGTACATTCTATACCACCTATCTTAGTGTTTAACAGGTATCCTCCATTAACCACCACCCTATCTAAGTGGTGAACATAATCTAAATCCTAGACAAATGGCTTTAAATCCATACTCACATCTTTAATACTTTATCTTTTCCTCCACTAGCTACTCTCTGTCCATCTGGGCTCCAGTCTACAGCAAAGACCTGTTTTAAATGTAAATATTGTATTATATAAGTTTTATGTGTAAATATTATATATTTCTATGACTTAATCTATCACATTGAGCTAATTATCTAATGATCTCAATTCATCATTTCCACCGGTCATTTTATTTAGTTTTTAATTTTTAATTTACTGCTTAGTGGTAGAATGATGGCAATAGAAGCTCTTCACCCATTTTCTTCTTTCTGTTTTGGGGTATCTCAATCTAATTAAAATATAGATCTATATTTCGTTTCGTTTTTTATACTTTTGATGGCCTACACTACATGTAGATCTAACAAGTTATAGTGGGAGTTCACGTTCTATGACGTCAGGTACCAAGCAAGCGACATTTGACCCGATTATGTCAGTCATTCGATTAAACAATTAGCGACCGCCATGTATTTTTTATCTACTTTTGCTTTGTTTTGATTTCTATTGCCGCTAATGTCTTCCCACAGTTCCGCGCAAAAAAGGTCAAACGCTCGATTCGACAGACCATTTGATTGGCTGACCCCTCATTTTAAGCAGAACACGAGTTAAATAACAACGCTTCCAGATCCAAGTGTAGTAAAGACAAGTAAAATCAAAATTTTGAACTATAAAAACGAAACGAAATTGGATCTGTGTTTTAATCAGGTTGGGGGTATCTCTATGGCATGTGTTAAAATCTAAATATTTTTGATATTAAACATACATTATGCAAGAGCAAAATCTGATTATTGCAAGTCTTAATTTAGGCTTCAGATGTTATAGAAATTATAAATTAGATCTTTATTTAAACAACAAGCCCAAAATCACGGATGGCTCGGCTACAGCTCGGATTTAAATAGGATTTCACTTATCAATTAATTCAAATATGGCGCATCCTGATGAGAATACGTCAGTTAGATCGAGGCTAAATGATAGAGTGTACTTAGCGAGGCCACTGTAGAGCGTTTACGCATGCCATTGAAAACTTTACTTGATAATCGAGATATGTAGGTGGAGTTAACGCCTGTCAATCAAACGATCAGACACGGTGAAGGCACATTTCACTACCATTTCTAGTCAAATATTACAACGATGATAACTATGTTCAGAATAAAGTAATTTGACTGAAATTTTCAAAATATTCTTCTTTCATCATCTACTTTTGAACTGTTATAGCAAGAATGGCCAATTCTCTGTAAAAATCTCCCATAATGTATCTTTAATTATATCCTTGTTAAAAGTAATAATACACACTATTTTAAAATACCTAATTTTAAGGTGTATAACTTGACCCTGAATGTAAATCAACCCATGTAATATTATGATGGAAATGTCACTTATTAAAGGGAGGTAAGTTATTTATTTCAGACGGAGATCAACAATAATTAATTTCACCACTGACTTTAATGTTAATTCTGGTCTAATTGCCCTGAACATTTTTCATTACAGACAGAGCAACAACTGGTCATGTTTTTGGTCAAAATTTTTAAGCCCACCACTGAAATTTTTAGATACACAAACTTGAAGTAGCATACTTTCTGCAGTACATATTGCCATAACCAACAGTAACTCTAAACCATGAATATTTACCCAAACCTGGCGGAAAATGTCAATTCAAAGATTCTTCTTCGATTCTAGTCAAAAACGTTAACAACAAATGCCATACAAAATGGGGGAAAAGGGATAAAGAGAGAATTGCTATAGACACACTACAAATTATGGGTACCGAGATGGTGAAATTTAATTGTGGTCTGCATCCAGATATTTTACAGTCAAACACCACACAACACTGTGTTACATCAGCATCACATGAAAGTCCCTGGAACTCTTTCAGTCTTGCCAGTTCAGCAAAATATACATGTTATCTAATGAAATGGATATAATCATACCACATTACTTGCTTGAAAAATTTTGAATATATTTTTCAAACATTTCATTTTCAAATTGGATCACTGATATGCAAAAGTATCACTTCTAAATGAAAGTGAACATATATATTTATCTAGAAATGAAATGTTATTTAAATAAATTGAGAAGTCAATTAATTTCTTTTTGAAATTATTTCTAAGAAGTCTGTCTATTTTACGAAATCTTGTTTATTGCAATATGGAAGGTTAAAATATATAAAGGGAAATAACTCTACTAATAGCCTACAGTTCTTACCTCATCAGCATGACCTGGTAAATCAAATAATAATTTTTTATTATCTACATCCCAGACTTTTAATGTTGAATCTGAACTACCTGAACATATTAATCTACTATCAGCTGACCATGCTACTTGATACACTCTATTAACATGACCTCGTAAACTTGCTAAAAATCTGCAAATAAATTAATACATGCTTTAAATTTGCCTATTGCAGGTTTGTTTATAAGTTTCAAATATTACTGGTATATAAATTGTTACTTGGACAACAATTTATTGATCACACAATTAGTTTTTCTACAATATTCTGCTATTCTCGCAGAATAAATTTCGCAGGTTGTGAAGAAATGTAGCCGCGATTGTCATTATACACTAATACAGGTGTGGTTCATCTCAATTGATTTGTTACGCTGTAATGGATTAGTTGTTAACCTGACTATTAACCATTTATGATTTAGGACAGGAATCATCCATCAGTCCAGCAGTGTTTGAGTGAGATTAGGTCTAATATAATAAAACACTGCGAGGAGTATGTGTCACTTTAGCTTACAATGCTGGAAGTAATTCTAAGTGAAACAAGTTTGGTTTTATTTTCTGAACTTTCCATGTGTGTTGACTCATTTACTTATGTTCAATTTTGGTTAGTGGTACATGCAGACAGATAAAGAAACCAAGGTTGTTGGATTGGAATTATACCCCCTTACAGTAATACCATGGATATATATACGGTCCATAGTAATACGGTTTAGGCACCAACCAATACTGGTTATAGTTAATAAACACTAATAAGATACAAAAAGAATCACACTTACTTCCCTGTTCTTCCATCCCATAACTTCACTGACTTATCAAAAGAAGCACTGGCAATAAGACGTGTGTCTGGAGAAAACTGGACTTCATTAATAAGCTGCTGATGTCCAGTCATTCTTGCAACTGGTTTCTTCTCGACTTCTGGTGTCCATAGAAATAGCGTGAAATCATCTGAACCAGATACAAGTCTTTCTGGTTGTGTTCCCTGTAATATATCACAAAATATATGTCACATATAAAAAAATATAAAAAATAAAATAAAAATCTATTTTTAGTTAGGAGTAGTGTCCCCTTACTCAAGAATGGAAGTCAATCATCTGTTTTATACACCAGTATTAATGCATGGTGTTTGCTCATTAAATCAGAATGAATATTTATCAAAGAAATGTCTCTAAATCACCTCAAAAATGGAAAACCATACCCACTTTGATTTTCCTGAAATTTGATTTATATGCTTATTTTGACTGGAAGAGCTGATATTCTAAATATTTAGCTTGATCAGACTAATGGTTCCTGAGATATGACCAAATTTGACACAGAATGACCCTATAGCATGTTGGGTATTAACAGTTTTACATGTTATCTTCCAAATGTTGAGACAATGAAGATGATTTTTTGTCGATTTATTGTTTATAGTGTTGGCGATCGGCTAACCAATTCACCTGGTGCAGTGTGGATCACAGATTCCTTATTTTACAGATCAACATTCAAAATCTTGAAGGTGTAATAGACGATTTATTAACCTTAAAAGGAAATCATCCGTAAGCATATGATATAAAGTGTTAATTTTTTTTAAAGGGGAAGATGACCATACCTTAGCTGCATCATATCTCTGTTTAGCTGACTTAGCAAGAACCTCAGCTGTAAAAGTAATAAAAACCATATGAAAACTTTTAATTCTGCTATTAAAATATACTCTTCAAAAAAAGTAGGGGATATTGAAATGCGAATACCTATGCAGGTTGCGATATGATAAATAGCCATGGACATTTGACATGCTTTGAGAGTATGAAGAACTTATCGCCCCAACAGAACCACTGAGCTGCACATGTGACACGCAATAGGGCCATACACGTGGGAGGGGTTCATTGTCAAATTTGACACTTCAAGGAAGGGTTGATGAAAACTGCCGCGTGCTGGTTTATCTATCCATGTTTGCTTTCCTATCGGTTCTTGCATAAGATTTACTGTTTAGCATATCTTTGCTTTAGTGTGTTACGTTTAATTTGATTGAGAGACGTGTTCGTTGACGTCAACGTCAACTGACAACACTGCAAGAATTGGCCGTGGCACTGCAAGAGGAGTGGGTCACGACGAATTGCCCAATGTCTGAGGATTGGTGGAGCAATTACTCCTTATCAAGACAAAAATCAACAAGCCAACAGTGAGGCTGATGTCCCCCGCCGAAATTGCAAAATAAATAGATGACACATATTAATTAATCGCACATTTATTTTTTTCACTAAGTTTCATCACTCTCTATCAGATAGAATCAAGATTATCTTGTCCCAAACCATCGACAAATGAAATCGATTAGCTCTGCTTAGCTTCAGCTCGAAATGTTAATTATTGAACTCAGTCAAGACATTCACCTAATGAACATCTACATATACATCAAGTTTAAACATTCACCTAATAGACACCTATGCCAAGTTTGAACATTCTACCTCAATTAGAAGGAGAGTTATTGTGTTCCAAAGTTTCTACCAATCAAATTGCTTATCACTCTGCTTACCCTCAGCAAAAAATGTTCATTATCGAACTTAGTTAAGGTATTCATATAATAAATCTATACACCAAGTTTCATCAATCTCACTTAATTAGAACTAAAGTTATCGTGTCCCAAAGCATCAACCAATCAAATTGCTTATCTCTGCTTACCCTAAGCGGAAAATGCTCATCTTCGAACTCCATCAAGGCATTGACCTAATCAACACATACACCAAGTTTGAACATTCTAGCTCAATTAGGAAGAGAGTTATCGTGCCCCAAAGTATCAACCAATCAAATTGCTTATCTCTGCTTACCCTAAGCGGAAAATGCTCATCTTCGAACTCCATCAAGGCATTGACCCAATAAACACATACACCAAGTTTGAACATTCTAGCTCAATTAAAAGTTATCGTGTCCCAAAGCATCAACCAATCAAATTGCTTATCTCTGCTTACCCTAAGCGGAAAATGCTCATCTTCGAACTCCATCAAGGCATTGACCTAATCAACACATACACCAAGTTTGAACATTCTAGCCCAATTAGGAAGAGAGTTATCGTGTCCCAAGGCATCAACCAATCAAATTGCTTATCTCTGCTTACCCTAAGCGGAAAATGCTCATCTTCGAACTCCATCAAGGCATTGACCTAATAAACACATACACCAAGTTTGAACATTCTAGCTCAATTAGGAAGAGAGTTATTGTGTCCCAAAAAGTGTGACGGACAGACAGACGGACGGACAGACAGACGGACAGACAGACAGACAGACAGACGGACGAACCCATTTTAATAGTCCCCTGCTTTCTTCGAAAGGCGGGGGACAAAAATGTCCATTTTCACTTTTGACTGTGTATCTATTTGCGAGTGAAATGGGGCCGTCAGATAAGCCGCCCATATGAAATGTTTATGTTCATGTGTAGGCAATTGGCCTGTTATTAACATACACTGGTTACCTCTAATAAAAACAGCAGTGCATTTCCCCAGTTTTGTATTGTTTCTGAATATCCCCTACTTTACCATGGCTTATATTGTCTGCTGAAGATGTCAAATGTTGCCACATTTTCAATCCATTTTCAACGAAATTAATCCTTTTTGCACTGATATTCCTTGTTAAAGATTTAACTTTCACAATATTCTAACTTGTAAGAGACTCCTCAAACACTTTAATATTGTTCATTTTGAAATTATGTTCAATAATATAAATCTGATTTTAATAGTCCTGTCTTTAGATCAGAAATCAGGAATTATTTTCAACATTGGATTGAGAGACACCATTAATCGACACAGGTATAAGTTTACTCTCACCATACAATAATCCAACAGTGAGGGTGAACTGTGAGAAGTAAGAGTTTACAGTGGGAAGTTGGGTTGGACAATGGAAAGATTGGGTGCACCATGAATTAAAGTGTGTACAATACTACAGTGCAGAGTAAGGATGACAATGGAAAGTTAGGGTGGACAATGGGAAGTTAGGGTGCACCATGAAAAGTCAGGGCGGACAATGGAAAGTTAGGGTGCACCATGATGAAAGAGTGTGTACAATGGAAAGTGAAGGTGCACCATGGAAAGTTAGGGTGGACAATGGAAAGTTAGGATGCACCATGTAAAGTTAGTGGGGACAATGGAAAGTTAGGGGCGACAATGGAAATAAGGATGCACCATCACAGGTTAAGGTGGACTGGACAATGGCAAGTTAGGGTGCACCATGCAAAGTTAGTAGGGACAATGGAAAGTTAAGGGCGACAATGGAAATTAGGATGCACCATAACAGGTTATGGTGCACAGGACAATGGCAAGTTAGGGTGAACCATAAAGAGATTCAGGGTCCACCACACAGATAGGGTGGACAATGGAAATGTTAGGGAGGACCATAAACAATTAGGGTGGACAATAAAAAGTTAGGTTGCACGATGAAAACTTCAGATAAGGTAGTGTTTAAAATCTGTCAAATTTGGGCACAAAATTGGAGAATATTAATAGTGTTTTATACACATACGTATACATTCACACTAAAATTCTGTTATACCTATCAGAAAAATATTTAAAAATAAATTGGTCCTTGAGAAGAAATTAAAATCCGCCCACTAAGGTGAATAGATTTTTACAAATAATTGATCCTTTTAACTAATGTAAAGGTTGTTATCAGTATACCACTGTATTGTATCCCAAGATAAGTCTACTGAGTCAACAAATGACCAAAAAGTAAACAGAACATATAGGCCATGTTGTGAAATAACCATGTCAACACAATCGGTTATAATAGATCATCGACATTTAACGTTAAGTGTGAATTTATTACTCACAGATCACCAAGATCTTTAATACTTTAAGGTACTTATCACTGTAAAAATCATTTTAAACAAAGTGGAATAATGAAAAGGACTGAGCTTAAATATGACGTGGATGTTTATGGAAAGCTGAACATCTGTTAAAAGCTGACAAACCGATACAAGATATATTGGTTTTCAATCCATTGAAGGTGCTGGATTAAAACATAATAATACCTTTAATAGAGTAAGTATATTAGCCTAGATTCTCTGTTTTATTGGTAGTTTGTTTGTCTTTTTGAGAGAAGTCTGTATGACAGTGCAGTGGCCCCCCGGATTTGTTCACTTGATTTGATATTTGTTGTTCATTGCTTGCAATGTCTGTTTATTGTCCACAGGTTTGTCTACATGTAAGTGCGGTCCTCCTGCACTTACTATTAGTGACAAATGTTTTGAATTTCAAATAATGGATAAATGTTATGTAGTGGGCTAGTGACCATTCAATTTTAGACAAAGACCACAATGAAATGAAATATATCATTGGTAAAAACTTGAGCTCCATATACAAATTTCATATTTTAGAAAAAGGGTCTAAAAAGCAGCTGTTCAAGCGAAAAATATCCCCAATATTTTAGCCTCAAGTCTTTAGAAGTAATGTTTTTTCTGTCATCATTAACTAAATTCTGTCTTTTTCTTTCTTTTTATATTGATAACATTGTGGTACATACATTTGGGTGTGGTGAAGTTTATTATTTACATAAGGTGTTTTTTATTCTTAGATAAGACCCCAATTTGTTTGATCTTTATGGATTGAGAACTGTCTTATCACTAAATACATGTGACTGACTCTTTAGTTTTTATACTAATTATGTGATCACTTTGATGAAACTCAAAATCTGCTTCTAGAACTCTTATATTTTCTTCTGTTTATATTTGGACAACAATCATTTTAGTATAATTCAGGAACATCAGACTTTAAAGAGGAACCAATCTTATTCAATTCAAGAGATTATTTAAAACACATTTGTTTAAAGAGTATTTTAAGATATAACTATCATAGCATGTAAACTATTTTATCTCTAGACTTTTTGTCATTCTCTGGACATACGTATTTAGTTTATGTGAGTAAGTTGGTTCAACAATAATTAAATAAAAAATTGCCCATCTTCCAAAATTAAGTTCTTTAATGCATGTTCATCAATGCAGGCAATGTGTTGGCTGACATGAATGACACTTTGCCATTGATGATAGATACTTGGACAAATACAGATATTATTATTATCATGTAATCCCCCACCTCAACACACACTTTCCTTCTAAATAAACACTAAAAAAATCAAAAGATCATTACACACAAGTACAGAGAACTTTACATAACCATGATACTTAAACAGGCAATATGTAACAGCTAAATCTGTCTAATTAAACATTTATTAACATGACAAGACAATAATTAACTCTTGATGCAATCGAATGCCTCTGATTTCAAGTAGATTAGAATGATTCTGCCATTTTATGATTTAATTTAAAAATGGAGAAGCGAGGCTAAGACTTGAATGACCAGTACAGTGGTCAGATCAATGCACACATCTTGTCAAAACTACAACTAACAATAACTTAGCTCAAAATAAAGTAATTTAAATGAAATTTTCAATATATATATATATTCATTTTGCATTATCTATTTTTGAAATATTATAGCTCTTTATCTAATTCTTACATAATGCCCCTGTAAGTACCTATAATTTATAGTATCATGAGATAATAGATATATTTAACATTATCCATTTTAATCAAGTGTATAGTAATAAAATAACCAGAATATTTACGATGTTTGTTATTGTCAATAGATAATAATACTCCAAGAGTAATATAAAGCAAGGTTTATACCAACCATTATTTGTTGGCTACTTACAGCTAACTTAATGTGATACTTTAAGTTTACAGTATTTGTAGTCTGGTCAAACAAGTTGGACAGTGTGTTACCTTCTTAACACGGTAATTACTTAATTCAAGTATCTGACACAGTATTACACTACACCTATAAGACTATTATTACCTACTTCATATATTATTATAGTACCTATATTCGACATTTATTTAACCTGTAACCAATTCATTTACTACATAAATGTGAAGTTTTATAGATATTATGGTTAACAATTGAATAACATTAAAAACAAGTAATAGAGCCCACAAGTATGGATTACATCATAAAGTAACATATTAAATTCTTCCACAAGAATTGTGTACATGTAAGTACTGTTTCATTAAGTTCAAACAACACCTATCACCAGTCCCCATGAACTGTTCTTATGCAAACTATCAATAATAAACAGTACAAGTAAAAAATATTCTAGAACTATTGATTTGACCTAATTGTTTCTATAAATCTTGTTATCTCTCTGATTTACAGTCTTAATAAAGATATTCACTTAAACATTACTAGGTAATGCCAGTCAGTGCTTGCTCAGACCTCATCTTGCAAGTGCACTATGTAATGGTCACCACGTTAAAATTTGTAAATTGTCAACTTGTAAGTATTTCAAATTACAAATATATTTTATTTCGGAACTTTGGTTAAGTTTTCTTATCAATGGTTACATCAAAGAAATATATCTTTGAAATTTTGAATTTGAATCAGTAATAGTATCTAATATTATTTAAGAATGACAACACTGCTTTGTTAGAAAACAGAATCAAATCATATAAAATGAAAGTAAAAAGGTTTCCTATACATATTCACTTTCAATACAGGACTGGATAATGGTACATTAAATAGTAATAACAAATTACAACCACATCCTTCATATCATTTAACATGATACCTGGTATATTCATTTACAACCAATAATCACTGATAAGAATAGAAGTGATGACAATGCACAGGTACATAAGAAATACAGTATGTTTTATTGTATAAAGGTAGGAAATTATCCTGTTTGAGCAATAGTTTTAGTTTCTCACTTGACCATATTATTGTATGGACTGTATCTTTTAGGCAGTGGGCAGTTTAACAGTCCATATTTGGTCAAATTCATATCAACGATATAGTTTATGACTGATCTTAGGGATGCTATTGTTAATGAAAAAGTAGTCTTTCTTCACCAGCTTGATATGGTACCTCTTGTAATTTGGCAGACACTACTGAACTATGATGCCAGACATTTATTAATAAAAGACATTTCTGTAGCAGACAAAATGCCAGGCACCAGAGGGACAGTGTTTGATAAAGGCTGATTTTGTGACTGACAATGTCTGTAACAGGTGCCTTATTTCCATGTTTGAATTATACTATTCAAAAAAAGTAGGGGATATTTGATTTTGGGGGCATAATACTAAAATATGCAAATGACTACGAAAAAAGTCACTATAGAACCTAACAGAAGAAACATTTCCAGTTACATGTGACGCCCAAACGCACCAATAGCTACCGCATGGAATGCAGGTGATGCTTGGGATCATCATGGGGGTCCAACCCAAGATTTGCACGACTCTGACTTTGAATGTTACAGTCGCATTGTGGCATTGAATTCCAGGGTGGAAACATCAGTTTAATTGTTTTAGTGACCAGAAAACAAATTTTGATATGCGTCGGCTTACCCAAAATGAAAGGTTACGTGCCCTTGGCATGCTACAGATCGGCACAACACAGGCGGTTGTGGCGCGGACGATGAATGTTTCTCAGTCTGTCATAAGCAGGGTATGGTCCAGATACCATGATACACAATCTGTACAGGACAGACCACGCTCAGGTCGACCAAGGGCGACAACTCAAGCCCAGGATCGATTTATCCGTACCTTGGCCTTGAGAAATCGTGTCATCACAGCAAATCAGATCAGCGCTCGTCTTCAAACAGACACTGGTGTGAGAGTGAGTGGCCAGACGATTCTGAATCGACTGCATAGGGGTCACCTTCGCGCCCGACGTCCTCGCGTGATCCCTTGTTTGAGAGATCATCACATTCAGGCAAGACGTCGTTGGTGTAGGGATCGTCAACACTGGGATAATCGACGCTGGAGCAATGTGATGTTTTCAGATGAGTCAAGGTTCACTGTTGATTTTTTGGACAGACGTAGGAGGGTGTGGCGTCGTCGAAACGAGCGCTTCCAAGACGTTAACGTCATCAGACATGATCGATTTGGGGGTGGTTCTGTTATGGTGTGGGGAGGCATCACTGTTGCTGGAAGAACGGCTTTACATGTTGTTGCATGGCGTGTTACAGGCCAGTACTACCGGGACAACATCTTGGCAGTCCATGTTGTGCCGTTCGCACGACGTCATGGCCGCCGTTTCATCTTCCAGGATGACAACGCAAGATGTCACAGGGCCAGGATCGTTACAGGTTACCTCCAACAACAGAACATCACCACATTACCTTGGCCAGCACTGAGTCCCGACCTCTCCCCCATTGAGCATGTCTGGGACATGCTTGGACAGAGGTTACGTCAACAACGTCCTGCCAATGTCCAAGAACTTGCTGCTGTGTTGCAACAGGAATGGGACAATCTGGACCAAAATGACCTTAGACGTCTCATTAGGAGTATGCCACATCGGATCAATGCTTGTTTGGCAAACAGAGGAGGATTTACCCGTTACTGACTTGGCTGTGATGCTGTGGTAACTTTGCTGTTTGACCCCGGGTATCATTTTACCCTTATAATGGTCAGTCTGTGCCTTAAATCGATGAATGTGAACTTCATTTCATTTTGTCATTTGTTTCTTCGTCAGTTTCATTAGGTGACTTTAATAACACTTAAAAATCAAATATCCCCTACTTTTTTTGAATAGTATAGGTAGAGTACGTGGATGTCAATCATTATGGAAAGCTTGGTGCAGTTTTTGGAAATAAACAAACAAATGATGTTATATAATAATTGGTGCATTACCATGTTTGTACTGCCCCCTCCCCCCCCCCCCCCATACAATATGGTATGGCATTTATCATGTTTTGGAAAAGAGCTCCTTATGTATGTATTTACCACTCTATTTGAGAAATACTGTAGAGGAACCATTATGTACTTTGTACTTTTACTATGACATGTTTGATTGCCCTAGAATCAAAGTTATCAAGTTGGACTTGTTAGCATCATCATCAGAAATAGTTGCCAATCTAATAATAGTAGGCCATCTGAGATGACAATATATACAATAGTTAAAGGTATAGATAAGATTAAACGTAGGTATATAAGAGAAAATGTAAACAATATAACACTAAACACACAAAGCTTCGTTATGAAGACAAAGGTAATTCTTTTCTTTGATTAAACACAATAATAGTTCGTCCATTGACTTGTTCACTGTGGGTTTTTTAAACATAGTTAAAATTAGTTTTCTCTTGATTTATAACAGTTTCTTATTTACTGTGTAAAAGTCACTGCTACAGACATATTCAATTTCATCATGAATTCTCAGTATTTCAGTATGTAAAGAGAATTTGGTCATGTTGAAAATGTTTGTTTTATTTTATTGTATTTTTACTGAATAATTAGGGTTTCACACTGCGTAGCCAGTGTGAACACTATTGTTTTTGTTCGGATTATTATTCTTATTAGGGTTTCACACTGCGTAGCCAGTGTGAAACACGATTGTTTTTGTTCGGATTATTATTCTTCTTCTTATTATTATTATTTTTCCATTTGAGCATATCTCAGAAACTACTTGATGGATCGATTCGATGTCTTCGGTTATGCTGAGAAAGTGGGTTTGACTTAAATGTTAAAGCTATTTCTGCGACAATGCGAAATGTCCGAAATCACCAAAGTTGTCGTTTTTCGATATTTTGCCGTAATGTTATCAATAATTGTCGGATTGTAATATTTTATGCATTTTGACATAGTCAGAGACAAGGCACATAGCTACAGATCTTTGGATTATTTATTTTCGACGAATCTTAGGAGATATTAGGCGCCAAATTTTGAAAATTTAAATTTTTACAAAAAACTTTTTTATTAATGAATATTTTTATGTGGTATTTTACTTAGGGTTAAAGAGTCATCTGATTTGACCAAAAATGGCAACATTTTTTGCCACCGTATTTTTCCTTGGCCCCCATTGGCTAATTCAGTTTTTCAGTCCTGTATTAATTATTTATTGTTCGATTTGTATAAAACAAAGTTCATGTGCTCCGTGGTCCAAAATGTCATTTTTTTTGTTACCGGTAAAATTGCCTTTCAGCAACGGAAGTGACGTAAATTTAGCAAAAACTACAATTTTTAGAGTTCGGTACCACTTTTTGAAAGCAAATATTATTTTTTTCAAATCTGGTATGACTGAAAGGGTGTCACCGGAAATGACGTAATTTGGGCAAAAAATGTATTTATAGCCTTCAAACCAGTAATTTATTCAAACGAGTCGTATTTGTTATTTGTTTAAAATTTTGATATTTGATTCCAATCAACTAATAGAATGAACCCATACGATCATATAGATATCACAAAATGGTTTCTAACTTGTTCAGTTGCGAAGAAATAGACGATTTTCAACAGGTAACTTTTCAAGGTTTTTGGTTCAAAAAAGTGTCAATTATTATTCGATTTTCATAAAATTTCCAGTGTGTGATACCTAATTTGGGCAAAAAATGTATTTATAGCCTTCAAACCAGTAATTTATTCAAACGAGTCGTATTTGTTATTTGTTTAAAATTTTGATATTTGATTCCAATCAACTAATAGAATGAACCCATACGATCATATAGATATCACAAAATGGTTTCTAACTTGTTCAGTTGCGAAGAAATAGACGATTTTCAACAGGTAACTTTTCAAGGTTTTTGGTCCATAAAAGTGTCAATTATTATTCGATTTTCATAAAATTTCCAGTGTGTGATACCTAATGCCATTTACGATTTTATACAAGTAATTTAACACTTTTTCTGTCACCGGAAGTAAGGTCATTTTGGCAAAAACTGTATTTTTAGCCTTCAAAACAGATATTTTATTCAAATGAGTCTGATTTGTATTGTTTTTAAAATTATGATATTTGATTCCAATCAAAAAATAGATTAAACCCACACGATCATACAGATACCAAAAAATGGTTTATAACTTGTACGGTTGCAGAGAAATAGACGATTTTCTACAGGTCACTTTTCAAGGTTTTTGTTCTATAAAAGTGGTAGTTATTATTCGATTTACATAAAAAAAATTCACCATGTGATGCATTATGCCATTTATGATTTCATAAAACTAATTTAGAATTTTCATTATCACCGGAAGTAATGTAATTTTGTCAGGATCACTTACATGTAACAAATGTATACAATGAATTGATATTGACGGATTTGGTTGATTCTGCGTACATTTTATTAGGGTTTCACACTGCGTAGCTTGTGTGAAACACTATTGTTTTTGTTAAAATTATTCTTATTATTATTATTATTATTTTTTTTCCAATTTGATTGTATCTCAGAAACTACTTGTCGGATTGATTCGATGTCTTCGGTTTTACTGGAAAAGTGGGTGTGACTTAGAGATTAAAGCTATTTCGAACGTTCTGCGACAATGCGAAATGTCCGAAATCATCGAATTTGTCGATTTTTGAAATATTGCCGTAATATTAACAATAATCTTCGGATTTTAACATTGGATACATTTTGACATAGCCAGAGACAAGGCACATAGCCACGGTTCTTTAGATTTTTGATTTTCCACGAATCGTCAGAGATATTAGGCGCCAAATTTTGAAAATTTAAATTTTTACAAAAAACTTTTTTATTCATGAATATTTTAATGTGGTATTTTACCCAGGGTTAAAGAGTCATCTGATTTGACCAAAAATGGCACCATTTTTTGTCATCGTAAATTTCCTAACCCCCATTGGCTAATTCAGTTTTTCAGTCCTGGATTAATTATTTATTGCTCGATTTGTATAAAACAAAGTTCATAAGCTCCGTAATCCAAAATGTCATTTTTTTTGTTACCGGTAAAGTTACCTTTCGGCAACGGAAGTGACGTAAATTTAGCAAAAACTACAATTTTGACAGTTCGGTACCACTTTTTGAAAGCAAATATTATTTTTTTCAAATCTGGTATGACTGAAAGTGTGTGCCCTGTAAAGGCGCAGAAAACATCGGGCTCAGTTTTTTTAATTTCGATTTCGTTTTCGGGTCATTTTGATTTAAAGGTGAAAAAAGGTGAAAAAAGGTGAAAAAATGAGCTATTTACAACCCATTCAGGGTTTTCATATTTTAAAATATTTCTTCGCAACTTTCATAAACTTGTAGCATTAATCCATACGAAGAGAATCTATCTCAAAATTAGTTTGTAATATGAGCAGTTGCCGAGAAATGGTCAATTTTGCATGAGTCACTCTTTACGCTATTGTGTCTGTAAAAGAGTCAATTATTATTGGATTTTCATAAAAGTGACACCATTTGATGCGTAATGTCAATTGTGACTAGTTCAACTCAATTTAACATTTTCCATGTCACCGGAAATGACGAAATTTGGGTAAAAACTGTATTTATAGCCTTAGAAACAAATAATTTATTGAAATGAGTCGTATTTGTTGTTTGTTTAATATTTTGATATTTGATTCTACTCAACTAATAGAATGAACCCATACGATCATATAGGTATCACAAAATGGTTTCTAACTTGTTCAGTTGTAGAGAAATAGGTAATTTTCAACAGGTCACTTTTCAAGGTTTTTTGTCCATAAAAGTGTCAATTATTATTCGATTTTCATGAAATTTTCACTATGTGATACCTAATGCCATTTACGATTTCATACAAGTAATTTAAGATTTTCATTATCACCAGAAGTAACGTTATTTTGGCAAAAACTGTATTTTTAGCTTTCAAAACAGATATTTTATTCAAATGAGTCTGAGTTGTTATGTTTTTAAAATTATGATATTTGATTCCAATCAACAAATAGAATAAACCCATACGATCATACAGATTCCAGAAAATAGTTTCTAACTTGTATGGTTGCAGAGGAATTGACGGTTTTCTACAAGTCACTTTTTAAGGTTTTTGGTCTATAAAAGTGGCAATTATTATTCGATTTACATAAAATTTTCACCATGTGATGCCTTATGCCATTTCTGATTTCATAAAACTAATTGAATATTTTCATTATCACCGGAAGTACTGTACACTTACATGTAACAAATATATAAAATGAATTGATATTGCTGGATTTGGTTGATTCGGCGTCCATTTTATTTGATGTGTGCAATGATGAGGTGGAAACCTGTTTAATGGTTTCATTGATACCGGAAGTGACATATGTTTAGGGTAACGTGGCACCGGTGAAACCCGTCATTACTGCATCGCAGTTCTAGTTCTCATTGATTTCATTACAAGAATCATATTGATAATTACATCCTTAATTAGGGAAGTTTTTGATAAAGTTTCCATCAAGAGTTTGAACAGATATTTTCAGTATTACATAATAGGCAAAACTGGCATTAGTTACTGGCTCCTCTTGAATGTTTCCTAGTAATCATTTGTCTGTGGTATCACCCTAGCTGGAAGCTGACATTAACCCCTACCCCTACCAATTTTAGTTGAAATAAAGGGTTAATCTGAGCTGTTATTTTGATTACTGATGGGCAAGATATATTACGTGGAAGGTGGCTTGTTTATTGACATTATTTTTGGATTATAAAGACAAAAACTTTTTCTTTTTTTTTTCAGGAATTAAAACTGACAACATGAAAGATCGTAAGATAGAAAGCACCTTTGAAATGGAGCAAAGGAATGGTGAATCAGAGGTTGATGGTGTCAAACTTGAAAAGATTAAACAGGAAATGAAGATTTTACGTAGAAATCGAATATGTCAAGCAATTGCATTTCTGATCATCTTCATGCTGGATGTTGCTGATCTGCTAAGTGACTGGTTGTTATATGTTGATATATATCTAGCAGAGGCAGGTCTAGTCTATGGGCCACCAGCAAGCAGTATTATTAACGCTCTACTGGCATTCTCCATCATCGGTTCCATAACATTTATACTAGAGGCTGTGAATATGGGTAAAGAAATCTTTACAATGGAAGCATGGGTTGATACTGATCTTATGTCTGCTATAATAATCTGGATTGAAGATGTACCTCAAATTATTATCAATGTCTTTATTGCTATATGCCGTGAAGATCCTATCAGTGTGTTCCAGTTGACGAAAGCCTCTGTTATCTTACTGAGTCTGGTTATTCGTATAATCGCCTCCCTCATTCGATACACTAGTAAGAAAGCCATAGCTGAAGCAAAAAAACATACGCACTACACCAACCGCCATATTGCTTATCATTTCTTTATTATGTTTGGTCTCCTTGTTAATGCAGGATGTGCGATAGCTGTCTTTATCTTCACCCAAACATCCCGCGATGCCAGTGGTAACCTCAGTTTCCAAATCCCTGATTCTGTATTCGAGGATAAATACAACGATCAGAGATATTTCCAAAATGTTAGTGTTTATTTCCATCATTCGACCTTTGACTATGTTGACAGTGATGCCTCAGACACGAAAGCGAATTGGATGCGTTTGATGAAAATCAACACCATTCGTGAACAAAAAAGTAAAAGAGCCTTATTCAACTATGAATATCAGGATACGACAGCAGAATTAAGAATGGCATTGTGGGAAAAAATCAATGAAGGAAATTGGGAAGTTCAGGAATGTTACACTGTCAACAAAGTGACAAAACAAATAACGAACGAGACTAACTGTGCTACATTTCTGACTGGATCATCCACGTCTGTGATATTTCTGTTCTATTTTGTCTCCCCTGACACATTTTTCAGGCGCCTTCTTTTTGGTGACATAAAATATAATTTAAAAGTGAACGATACAAGTACGTGCAAAAATGTGGATGACTTAACAGACTCAATTGAAGATGGAATTGCAAAAAATCTTCCCACTATACATTATTATCGTACAACTGAATCAGAAGTCTATCATTTGTTGTCTGATAATGGTCAAGTGAGGTTTTACAAGAATGATGCTGATTTTGAAGATATAGAGAGTGTATGGGAGACGGGATGGGGTAAATGTGATCCTACTGGTACACTGGCACCACATGCTGATGATTCTCTACATGCACCATGTTATAAGACAACATAAAACTTTAAATATATTCCATTTTAACATATATTAATCTGAACACATAGTTCTATGGAAGCTTATCACTTGTGTAAAATCTTTAATTCTGTTGTACCTAAGATGACTTCATATAAATACATGTCTGTAAATACAGGAGTATCAATCAGGTAAAACTAATGGTTCGTTATTCGTCACTGGTGACTTATCAATAATATTCCAAACACTATACATGTTGTGACAACATGCTGTGCACTCGAAAAGATATTCCAAATAGTGACCTTCACCATCCAAAAACTCAAAATGTGTAAATACCACACATATTGAATGCTAATATTTTTTCCATGGCCAGTAAAGCACACGCATGTTTTGGGTCCTTAACCTGAGATTTGCAAGCAGTAAATATTATTAATATCAAACAGAAGCAAAACTGGCTGTGTGTTTATTAATCTCACTGAAACATATGACTGGTTCAGCGAAACTATGTGTCAAGCAGTAAATACAAACAAACCGGTTCATACGCCTTTATAATTCATGCTTAGGACGAACCATAAGATGTCATATTGAATACCAAAGAGGTCACTGTTTTCCTCAATTTTATTATATATCTCTCTGGGAATGTGTACCTAATGTACTGTTTATTGATATTTTCTCTAGTATTGTTTGTTCTCTCTATGTTTTGTTTTACAGTTTCCCTACTCTGTACATTATATATACATCGATTATAAACTTTTAAAGTTAACTAAATTATCATCACAATTTATAAATCGACATTGTCTATTTTTGTGAACTGAACGTTTATGGGATTATATATATATATTGTAATTATAAGTAATATCATATGGACCTATTTATAATAACAGTAAATATAAAAACACAAATTTATATGGAAAACAATCACAGTAAAGATTAAAAAAAAAGCATACAGTATTTATAAATAGTACCGGTAGTTACTTAAATCAAATGAAATCAAGTTTAAGTTGTACAGATACCAAAGAATTATTTTTACAATGAAATTTGTTAATTTTGATTTATTTATATCATGTTATTATATTAGTTTTGTCATTATTATATATACTTTACCCAATAAAATACATTGTTTGTTATTTTTAGCCTATCAAGTTCATGTAGCCACAAACTAGGTCATTTTGGGACTAACATATGATACAATTTTATTTCAGTAATTCACTTGCATGGAGGGATCTTTAGCAGTGGGAGGAAAAATGAGGACCTGGTGAAAAACCAGCAAGGTTGTGTAGGTGACCCTATTCCTTGTTACATACATACATGCTTGGGATAAAAACCATGTCATTTGACTCTGACAGACTTTATGATCTAAATCGCACAGATTAAACGCCCCCCCCCCCATTTACTACAATATAGTTTATACTTTATGATCAGTACCACAGAAGTAATGTATGAATCAGTAATCATTTAACTCTTAACTGACCCAATGTTACCATTAAGTACCCTTGTCGACAACTGTCAATAAACCCGGTGAGCCGAATGCAATGGTCCTGGCGTAATGAGAGTTACTTCCCTTCTAAATAGAAGACTTTCACTTATTAGTTTACATCCTGTTTGACATTATAATGTAGGTGTATGTCTAGGCCTATACGGAAATGTTCCGATAATGCAATTTATCGTCCATATTGAATTACAGTGATTAAGATTTTATTAGTGGTGTAGATTTGAAAGTTTTGTGTTAGAACGTATTAGAAGTAAGCCTAATCAACAAATTATTTGACCAACATTTCGTCAACATACCTGGTCAACATAAATTTTAACCGTATACACACTTGTCAACTTTTCGGTAACATGTTGGTGAAAATTTATCGCTGTTTGTTTGTGTACATTCGATTTCTACCATTTTGTCTCCATGTCATATGACTTCAGGTAGGTCAGTTGATTTCAAACTGATTGGTCAAAGTCCTTAAATTTCTCATCAACAAGAAAACTAGAATTGCATTTGCATACTTTCAACAATATGTTGCCCAACGCGTTGACAAATTTCTTACTTTGTATACACTTGTCAACCTTTGTTCAACACGATGATGAGCTTCAAATGTTGGTCAACATGTTACCAACAAGTTGATAGTGTGTACAGACATTTATCCTATCCAAATTATGTTTCAGAAATTTTGACTTGAGTCACTTGACATACAACAAAAGGTACAAAATGTTCCAAGATACACCGAAACCTTTCTTCTATCAAATAAGATAAACACACAAACCTGAATCTGTGACTAATTCTTTAACCAGTGTTGCATTCTTTGGATCAAACCAACCGGTTCTCATAACATAGTCTGTACTTAATGCCATAGTATTCACCCAATGACCATGTCCTTGTAATGTTCGACATAAAACACCCTACAAATAAGGTTACCTTACTTTAAAATATGTCATCTTTTACCAAACATCACATTAAGTTCCCTTAAATGTGTGTAGAAAAACTATTTGGAAGAAGTTAACCATTTAGATAAATTTTGTGGAAATGAAAAGAAATGGGGTTTAACATCTGCATAATGAAGATGGGTATAGCCATGCAGTGGTGTGCTATGAGGGAAATATGTCCCAGACAACAGCCCTATGACCTGTTCTTTTTTGATTCCCAACTGTCGGGCACCTTTAGCATACTGCCAATGGAATACACAGGACCTTCTGAACTACCAAGTGCTTTACCTAGCAACACCCTTTAGCCTAGACCACCGACAAGGGGAATCGAATGAAAAATCTGGAAGAACTTTCTTGGCCAACACTGGAATCGAATACCGGGACCTCCTGGTTGGTGAACTTTTGCATGTATGCACTTAAACAATACAGGATGGTAACTAGTTGCCCTAATGTTACCATCTCCCCAGTAACCTCACATTCTGATATTCAATGTTACCATCTCCCCAGTAACCTCACATTCTGATATTCAATGTTACCATCTCCCCAGTAACCTCACATTCTGATATTCAATGTTACCATCTCCCCAGTAACCTCACATTCTGATATTCAATGTTATCATCTCCCCCAGTAACCTCACATTCTGATATTCAATGTTACCATCTCCCCAGTAACCTCACATTCTGATATTCAATGTTACCATCTCCCCCAGTGACCACAAATTCTAATATCCAATGTTACCATCTCCCCCAGAGACCACACATTCTGACATCCAATATTACCATCTCCTCAGTGACCTCACATTCTGATGGGAGCCACAGTGCCTAAGTGGGTAAGATGCTGGCTCGCTATCCTAGAGGTCGCTTGTTCGATCCCTGCATTGGCCTAGAAGTTCATCGGGATTTTTTTACGATGTGGTTTCCCTTTGTCAGTAATATGCAGGGAAGCTGTCTAGTCGTTCGGATTGGACGAAATACCGAGTCCCCGGGTATACATTGGTGTGCATGTTAAAGATCCCTTGGCAGTTGGCATTCGATATAAGAGTAGCCCATAGTGCCGCTGCTGGGGCAAAATTTCCCTCATTGCACACTGTATGGCGTATGTCCGTCTTCATTAGACCAGTCGGAGCAGAACAGTAGGACTTTGAACCCCATTTCATTTCATTTCATATTCTAAAATCTGATGTTACCATCTCCCCATTAACCTCACATACTGATATCCAAGGATACCATCTCCTCAGTAACCTCAAATTCTAAAATTCAATATTACCATCTCCCCAGTAACCTCGCATTCTCATATCCATGGTTATCTTCTACCAAGTAACCCCAGATTCGAAGACAATTATCATACATTTTGATAAATAATTATAAAGATACTGTTGAAGAGCTATACATGTAACAGTCACAAATATGACAGATAAATGAACTCTGCAAAATGCATTTGATATATATACAATCCCAAATTTTTTAACTGGATAATGTCCTTCCAACCAATATCTTGTTCACAAGTTTTTTATAGGTTTTGAAGTAAATGGAAAGATAACTTGATGAAAAATATGTCCATAAGTTTTCTTATGACCAAATGAACAAACACTGCAAGTTTGAAAATAAAAATATGTATTGACCTCTTACATGTGGCGTATTGACAAGAAACAGGATGTATGATGGAAGGAAATGACAACAATAATGTGTCCACATTAACAAGAAACTGTGGATGGATGATGGATGCAGGTGACGACAATATGAGTCCACATTATATGAGGTCATATAAAAATACTGATTTGTATAACTGCTGGTGAAGACAATATGTAATACATGCATAATAAATTTGTTTCTACTCACATCTTCTGCTCTGTAGACTTTAATTGTTCTGTCTTGTGATGATGTATATAATAAATTACTACCACCCCATTTAACACATGATATTGTCTGTAAATGACCGGATAATGTTATATGACATTCACTTTTTAATGTATCCCAGATTTTTACTGTGGCATCCTGCAAAGAAATAAAAACAGAATTAGTACAATCATTCTATAATTAGTTTAAAATTATCATCATGAACGTTGCAATATTTACTATTTAAAATCTTTATTTAGTCTAGTTCATATTACAAGTATTAATATTATTCCTTACTTTTGATGCACTTGCTAAATATCTACATTCAGGATCTCTGTAAGATAAGGTAAGAAGAAATGATATCTCTGTAACTGAAGTTCATTTAAAAATATTTTGTATTACTGCATTCCAATCAACCATATAAATAAAAATCAGAAGGATAACGTAGTGCATGGTGGTACATGTAAATGTTGCAGCAATTCAGAATGTCTTTTGTTTTCAGGGACATACATAAAACATATAGTATGGATTTGTTGATGTCTGGTACTCCCCAAGTATGCCTGCCAACCAACAGTAAAGTTATCCATGCTAGCTCTAAAATCATAGTAAGGAAACCCTGCTGAGCAACATTTCACGAATCTGAAGTAAATGGGTAGATAACTACAATTTGGAAGGGTTTCTTCATGATCAAATCACCAAACCCATTCACAGGCTTAAACAATCACAATGTAACCAAAAGCTGATTCAAATTAATTCTTCCTTATGCCAAAATCACGAAGTATTATAGCATTTCACTGAAACTTCTGTCCTATATCACATTCACATTATTTCATATATTTATACACAAGTGAGGAGCGGGGGGAGTATAACTGTTATTTTTGATTCAAAGAAAAATTTAGGTAGGCGTCTTCCATATGGCCCAATGAACAATCCCTGCGAATTAGTAAATAAATCCATAAAAACTTGGACCTGTACACGGTTGACAAGAAATTGTTGATAGACAACAGATCAATGTAAAGCAGACGAAGGACACAAGATACTTCATATAAAAAGCTAAAGAAATAGTAAAGCAAGTTTTCCGTGAAATTATGCTAAAAATGGCTATATTATGTAAACTTACATATGTAACGGTTTCCATGTCAACCATGTTATCCATTGTTTATGACCAGTTAAGGTTTTTCCAATTTGTTTACCTGTACTAGGATCCCAAATACAAATCTGTCAAAAATCAAAAAGACCCATAAATTTATTGTACTCCAATAGTTTTGTGCTTGTTGCATGCAAATTTTTATCAAATAACATAATATTTTATCATCTTCAGTATCCCCAGTGGTATTGTTGCATTCTACTCCAGTAACCCTTGTGTCCATTCATGGGTAGTCACATATAAAAATTATCTGCACTTGATAACTGTGCTATTCTTATTGTTCAATCAAAACAATGTGGGCAAAGGGAAGTAACTAACATCTTGTAGTAACAAATATGGCCGAAAAAACTGCGGAATCAATGTTGTACACTTTGTTAAAATGTGATTAGGAAAAATACCTATCAAGATATTAAATTTCTTGAAAACTTTCTTATATTCGAGTGTACAAGCCGCCATATTTTTGTGAACATAAATAATTATGCTAAGATTGGTTTGTAAACTTTTTCTTAGTTGTTTTATAACATAAACCTATGTGGCCAATGAAATCATCAAGGGCAACTAATTTAAAATTTGTGACTACCCAGTGAATCAACACAGGGGTTAGTGGTGTGGAATGGAACAAAAGCATTGGGGATACCAAGGATGGATATTTTAAGTGAATTCGAAATGGGTTAAATATATATAAATACATGTATTGCGCATTACCTGACTATTTTTACAACCTGAAGCTAATTTTAAACCATCTGGGGACCAAGCTATACATAATATCCAATGTTTATGACCTGAAAAACACATAATATATTTCTATAATTCAGGTTTTAACATGTCTACATGGTGACCAGGCCTGGATTAACCTAGTGGGGGCGGGAGGAGGGGATCTGTGGTCTCAAACCTGTAGGGGCCCTAGTAACACCCATTCCGCATTTACGGATGCAATCAGCCCTTTCCCGATGAATGATAACAATCATGTAGGGGACTGTATAACTGAATGCTTTAATCAACTGAAAGGCTGTTGGTTATGATTAATTCATTAATCATTTGAACTTTACTTGGCAGAAAGAAAAAAAACCTCCTTTTATGAGAACACGGAATTCAAGACAATCATAATTCGCAATTCTCATTTTGTATAAATAAATTAAATATACACATCCTTTGTTAATGGAGGAACACTCTCCGATACTTGGCCGCAAAAGATTTGGATATGATGTCTACAACATTTATGTTGGGACCCCCCCCCCCCCCCCCGATGTTCCCCACTAAGACCCATTGTCAATCTGATAGTAACAAAAATAAATCTCATAACATATGTTTCAACTTGGTCTAACTGTATGATCCTTTCATCCTGACAGAAAATGTTCTAATAAAATGTTCTAATTGCTTTTGCTTCTCACCTTTGCAAGTAAATTGTGGTGTTTCTGTATTTACATCCCAAAATCTGACTGTTGTATCCCCTGATCCACTGGCTAAATATCTGAAAACATGAAATAAACATCAGGGCCTATCATCACATATTATGTTTTCAGCTCTAAAAGTTAAAATCTAAATGATTTACAACTAATAAATTAGGCATTTCTATAGAGTTCTTCAATATATTCCAATAACAGTTCTTGCCATATGATGTTAATATAAACTTACCTTCCATCTGGACTAAAAGCTACAGATATAACAGCATCTGCATGACCTTCTATAGTTCCTGTACATCTAGTTACAGCTCGTACTTGAAATATAGCTTGTGGCTGATATATAATATCTAAAACTTTCTCTGTATCGTCTAACTGATCTTTTGTTAATGTTTTATTTAAATTTTCTGTTATTTCAACATCTTTTACAAAAAATGAATATGGAGTTGGCTCTTCCTGAAAATAATTTATGATTAATAATTGTTTAATGCTTTTTAAAATTAATACTGCATTTTTTAAAAGTTAATTATATTATCCAAATGCATACATCTATAAATTGTTAGTACCGGTACTGTACATGGTACTTATTCACATATTCAGCTATGGAATTCAATTATAAATTTGTGTATCCACAATTTGCAGAAAACAGATTAAACATTTTGTGTTGAGCCCTTCTTTCTTCAAGTAATTTAAAAGAAAGAAAGTATAGTTCAGGAGAGAATCATTAATAGATCAATTCTATCATAATTCAATTAACAAGCATAAGCTAATCATGGTTCTGAAATCCATGTTTATTTATCAATACTATCTTTGGAAGACCTGATACCACTTTTCATTTGATAAAACAAAATGAAATGAAAACGGGTCCTACATTTCTGCACAAAGCAGTGTGTATAGCCTATGTGGATACTTGCCTTTTGTAGAATAGCATTACATATAAGTTCTAGTTTGTCTACACTGATATCTAATGGTAGATCAAATGGGGCACCTGCTACTTCACCAGCTTCTGACTTAAACTGTACCAATAATCTCTCACCGCCATTTTCTTCAACGTCTCCCTCACCACTGAAACATTCATGTTAAATATGAGCGAAAAGATTATTCTCTAATGTGTTTGAGAAGATAATGAGGCTTTTTTTATTTACAACCTTCTTTCTTATTCTGCTGGGGCCATGAGTGGATAACTCGGTCTTGTTGAAGTTGCTAGTGCTGTAGGTCGGCCTACACGGCTATATAAAAATTAAGATGATTTAGTGAATCCTCAATTAATTTTGGGCTGGGGCTGTTTGCCACATATGGTAAGACAATTCTGGTACTACTACTTGCCACATGTGCTAAGTCTGTACCACAATTATCAACCGGTTTCAATGAAATTTAGAGACCATGATAACATCTCATAAAATAACATTAATTATATCCCAGAGTAACCAAAATTTTGACCACTTCCGGCTTGCGATTTCCTAGATATCAGGTTACCACACATTTCATTTGGCATGGCTGCAGACAACAATAATCAACACATTTCAAGGAAACTTACAGATCATAATAACATTAATAATATCTCAGAGTAGCCAAAATTTTAACCACTTCCGGTTATGCTAGGTTCTCACTATCGTGTGATGCATTACGATAGGATTGTCCCTACAATGTACTGAGTCCACGATCTGGTACGTTCAAATACTTTTTGTTACGATCACCACGATAGCTCCACGATTTCAATCGCAGCACGAATCGTGATAGTGGGAACCTGGTATTAGTGATTTCCAAAATATTAGGTTACCACACATTTCATGTGGCACGGCTGCAGACAGCAATTATCAACCGATATCCCCGAAACTTACAGAATATGATGACATTAATAATATCTCAGAGTAGCCAAAATTTCGTTATTTTATACGTTCGATGGCCTCTACTACATGAAGATATGACCAGTTGTAGTGAGGTGTTGCGTCAGGGGTCATACGAGCGGCTTTTGGCCCTGTGACGTCAGACATTTGATTAACCAGGATACCCACATTTCTGTGCATCACACACCAAGAACTCACTACAACAGACTGTATCATTGACTTATCCATCACATTAACCAGAACACGGGATATAAAACAACACTTCAAGATCCTAGTGTAGTAAAGGCAAGTAAAACGAAATATTGAACTATAAAAAACGAAATGAAATAGGATTTGTCACTTGTGTTTTAATCAGATTGAAATCGGGTTGTCAAATAGCCACTGCCCGAATCTTTAATAAATATAGTAAAGTTATGGAATATTATTATCATTATCAACCTTATCAGGCCTCTTCACTATAACTTAATGAAATGCCATTATTTTTATCTAAAATAGGCACTATAATATTATATCATAGTATAGTCATAGAGTAAAATACATTAGTATTACTAGTAGTACTACAAATGAATGTCAAATTGACTGCTAAATTGTCATTTTGTTTTTCATAATATTTTCACCCTCAAATACCAAAACGATTCATTAAAGAGTGAAACAAAGGGGAAATGGTTAGTACGTAAATATATACAGACATCTCAGATATTTACCTCATATTTTACAGAAATAAATATCAAAAACAACAAATATAAACAACAGCACGTGTGGAAACGACAGCGGAAGTCCGAAGAGTAGCTTCCCTTGTCACTCCTCCACTGGAAATTGAAAAAGAAACTAGGAATAGCCCACAATAATTTCTTCTGCTATTTATTTTTTATATTGTAATTTGGAAAGATGCTCACCTTTTTTTTCATGATGACAATAGAATTTTAGTCACATTATCACTAAAACTAAAGCAATGTCATCTAATGAAATAGTTGCCGCCTTGAAATTATTATCAAGCTCGTCAGAGAAACATATTTTCAATGGAATGGTTGCTATCCGAACCAAAATTATGAAAAGTAAAAATGGAGAAAAACAGCTGATATCTAAAGGTGTTATCGGAAAACTCCTGTCAATTTTAAACAAACAGGATGTGACTCAGAAAAAGAATAAAATAATAGATATTGCCCTTAGTATTCTAGGCAATTTTTGTATGGAAGAAGAAGCACGCGCTGATGTAAGTTTCATATCGTCATACTCATGCCATCATGGACCGTGTAATGCATTATTATTATTTAATAAGGTTCAAGGTACCGTAAGCTAAATTATGTCAATTATAATTATATCATCGTTGTCATTGAAAACATGAATGCAAATTCTTACCATGATAACAGAGGCATCTCCAGGAGTTTTAGCAGACCTGAAACAAACCATTACATTACGCTAACCCTTACTCGGTGTGTACTTTCCCAGACTGCAGTTTTGAATCTTCAGGTGGTGCTTCTGATTTAGTTGTCATACTTTGTGTGCCCTAAGCCCTAACATTTCCTCTAACTACTCCTAAACCCTTTGATTAGAAGAAGCTCAACTACGATAGGGCTGCAACAAATTCATCGATGAACCGCAATGTTTTAAAAATCCATGATACACGATACAATCAGTGGCTGTATCGCGATCTGTTATCCAAATAATAATTTCACAAAAATAGACTGATATTGCTTTAAATAAGTCCATGAAGTGGCTTATTATAGCTATTTTGTTCAAATTAAAATATCAGTCTGGTTAAGCAAGTCGTGCTAGAAATTAAGTTGCGTTCAAATTACACTCTTGAATAATATGCAGAAAAAACAACATATTAATATATATAGGCCTATATACGTCTGTATACTAATATGCGATTTGTGATAATATTTAATTAATATTACTGTATAAGAATGGCGATTTGTACATACTGCATACATTGATCAGCACATTTTCAAAGTATATTAATATTCGATATTAAAATGTTTGTAACGTTATTTCCTTTGCTATTCCGTAATATATGACTGACCTGACAATAAGAAAGCTTTTCATTGGCTGAAATTGTTGTCGCAATACGACCCAGCCAGCTGAAATTTTTTCATAATGAATTCACCAAATTCAAGTTGCATGATCGACAAAAGCAATATTGAGATCGAAATCCCCTCATACCAAGTATATAAGTCACAAGTAAAGTATGGGAGTTTTTAGGATTTCCCGTTAAGCACGACAGCAATGAAATCCAGTCAGCTGACCGAGAAAACACCACATTTAAAGTAGCTAAGTCTCTAACTCAGTATCATCCAAAGTCTTCGACATTGAAAACAAAAATTATTTGTCAATTTAAATCAAAATTGATGTTATGATCTTACCGGAAAAAGATGGACTTCTGAAATCCAATATTTAAGACAAAATAAACATTTTACCATTGGTACACGAATTGTGTACCATAATGCGTTTCAGCGCCATTTGTAACACGGGACTCTAAGAATGAGGCTAGACGTATTCCACAAGTCATGTCAAACGGTGACGCCGTATTCTTATCTGGAGAGCATGCTCAATAAATACTATTGGTGTAGACTGAATAACCAGACGCTAGAGATTACCATTCGATTGAGACTTTTGACGTATTTTGCCAAACATAACTGATTTGAAATTAGGGTAAAAGCAGAAACAGTTGAATGTAAATCAGTTTAGATACATTCATATTACATTATTTTATGCGTTGCGACCCATTTGTGTCAATTTCTAGATCCCAAATATTAGTGACTTAGCTCCTTTAAAGTAAATCACAAAAGTAGGTCTTCGAGTTTTCACAGTGAAAGACTGTCAAAATTTAACAACATTTTTAAAATTTATTACCTATATCGCGATATTAATCGTATTGTAGACTATGAATAGTAATGCGCATCATATTGTGGCCTGGCGTAATGTTGCAGCCCTAACTAACGATGAACCATTATGAAATAAAAGAAAACTAAAACAGACCTAAAACTAATCATTACCCTTACCCTAATTTGATGTGTACAAAATAGTTTTGAATCTTTGGCTAGTGCTTCTGATTTAGTTGTTTTACTTTGTGTTTCTGAAGCCCCAACATGTTTTCCCTTACCATAACCCTATGAATATGAAACTTTTCACATGTATGCCACTTCTGTATATAAAATGGCAGGTTCTCTGTCATTATTCGGACCAAATATCCTAGTGAACAATAGGTTTATTGTTTAAATCGGGTGGCAAATGGCTTATACATTGCTCTTTTTTTGCATTTGATTGATTCTGTGTAAGCTTATACAGTAGGCCTACTTCTCTTATCACAGTCAGAAATTAAAATAAAACAGTGACATCTATCTCTCTGTCTTTTTAAATTTATAATGAAAGCAGAATTAGTTAATCCAATAACTAAGCTTATATGTACCGGTACATGTTGAGTAGTAAACATTGTCTTTATATCTTTTGAACGAGTACAATATTATATACATATATTTTGTTTCTAATGATGTTTATGAACTTATTTTATTGAATTTTACTTGTAGGTATTGAAAGTTCCTTATGGTATAAATTGTATTTGTAAGTAAATCTTTTTTCAAAAAATTCCTCTCAGTGGAATATCTGAAGTATTGAAATGAATTCAGCTTCTTTGTATGGATTTTAAGAAAGTTAATTATTTCAATTCAAAGCGTTACCTTTGTTTTAGTATCACTAGTACCAATAAATTAAAATGAATTAATATCAGCCATTTTTCTACATTTTTTATATGATCAAATACTGGTATTTAAATCAAAAAAACTCTTTGAATAGAAATTTTCCTTTCATTTTACTATAATTTGAAATGTAGTCTAGAAAGTAAAGATTATATTTTGTTTAACTTTTTACAGGTAATTGTGTTATTGAATCCCCATGTAGCAGTATACAAAACAGAGCAGCTAGAACATTGGCTAATCTAGCCTTGACTCCACTGATTGTTGTTAGAATATTTCAGACAGACGTTTTGCCTCAACTTGTGAAACTATTAATAGAATCAAAGAATAAAGAAAGTCAGTTGATCTATTGTAGAGCTCTTAGGTAGGTTTAAAGTTTGAAATAAATCCTTAATTTTTTATTATCTAAAATTATTTGAAATAGAATTATTCTATTTTTCATATGATGAATAGATAACTCTTCACAGCCAAACCTAGAAACGTATACATGATGCTGAAAGTGGCTTTACTTTAGTCATCATGGTGATATTTGTTTAACTTGAATTTACAGGTTACTTGGTGCTAGCAATACAGGAAAGGAAAAATTGTTAGATGAAAATGGAGTGTTTGCTGTAGCTAAGTTAATGTCCAGTGAAGATGAAGATGTTATGAGGAACAGTTTAAGGACTGTGTCTGAACTTTCTGTATCAGGGTTAGTTAGTTTTTAGTTTATTTTAATAGAGGATGCAGAATTTGTGCATTATAATCTTGAAATAGAGTGTTTCAAATTTTAGGAAAAGATAACACAAACTGACAAGATTCTACATTAAACAGTTTATCTCTTTTTTTAAACTAGATAAATGGCATTTGTTGTTTTGTTTCAAGCAGTTATTGGTTTGTTAAAGATATGCTCTTTTGATATTGGACTTGAAGTATGTTACTATCTACCAAAACAAATTTAACTTAGTTTATGCAAGGGTGGGAGATGTTGATGAACAAAATCAAAGTGTCGGATATTGAAATGGGCTCGTTAGGTCTGTCCCAGTTTTGTTTCCGTAGTAAATTCGGGAACCACTTTAGAAACTACATACACACATTAAGCTATTATGTATCGGTTGAATAATTTTTGTGTTCCATGGAAACAAATTTGACATAGTTTTAGTGAAAGGGTGCAGGATGTTGATGGGTGACCTCACTAACCTTGAGGGAATATCTGTACATCTTTGTCAAATAACTGAATTTTGGTACATGTAATACTTAAAGGCCATTCTATTGTATTGATATTATAATAAGGGACCGGTTGATGGATGGGTTGAGATCTATCCAAGACTGATTCGTTTGGATGGAAGTGTTGAAATTTTGTGACTCTCCCCAATATAGACAATTGTTTACATGAGCCTTTAAATTATTATATTCATATATTTTTAGATGTTCATACAAATTTGCGCGACAGATCTTAGCTGCTGGTATTATCAACATCATGGTAGATCAGATACATCACAAAGATTGCAGCATTTCCCATCAAGCTCTGTCTACTGTAATACGATTGACAGAATTTGAATATATTCGTCCTGTGATTGGTTCAGCAGGGGGAATAACCCTGTTCATTACACTGTTGACTGATACCAGACAACATGTTGATAAGATTAAAGTAATGAATGTTTTATGCTTATGTGGAAAAGAATCTGTAAATCGTGTTAAAATACGTGAAAATGGCGCTTTAGAAATTCTGCTATCTGCTCTAAATGGTGTTGAGTATCAGAGACTCCATGACAGAATTATTAGCAGTTTCTTAAGTTATTTGTATGATGAACCGAGTCTTAATCTGTTGCTGGAAAATGGGTTAATCGACATTCTGTTGAGACATTTAGAGAGATGCACTGAATTCACTTCATCTACCATAGTTATAAGTTTCAGTGAGAAATTTTTGGCACTTGAAGACTCTGATAAAGATACCGTCAACACATCCGCTAAACTCCAACATATTAAGGCTCGTCCTAAACAAATACCCAAACGGTGCAAATCTAAAGATGTAAGAAAGAATATGGACAAAATTGTGGACGATCTTCCATCTTCATCTACCTCAATGGATGATTCAAAACCAAGCACCTCAAGAGTGAAACATACTTCGGGTGGACTCTCTTTAATTGCAGAATCTCCAGCAAGTACAGACCTCAACATTCCTAGGACAAGTTCAATAGAGATCACTCCAACAAAAAAATCAAGCCATATTTACAGTATAGATAGTCCAACATACGAGAATCATTCGTGGGAACCCTCATCATTAAGTGGAGGCATTACATGTAAACAGAGCTTCTCATCTGGAGCAGGTACTTCAGGTGGTCAATCACCATACAGTCCTTTAAGTCATGATTCTTATTATTCTCCAGGTGTATCATCACCTTCCTACAGCATTCCATCACCTGCTAGTCCCGATTTACCATACTCTACAGTGTGGAGTCAACCATATCGTAGTGATAGTCATGAAGACTTATCCCCCTTTAGCAGTAGTTCTGTGCTAGGTGGAGCTGATGTTGGAACTCCTGCCTCGGCATGGACCTTTTCTTCGTCAGATGATGAGGATATTAATAATGTTGATGATTCAAGTAATATAAATAATGCTGACATTACTGATAGAACATCACCAGTAACAGATCAAATTCATGACAACATAAATATGTCTGCAGACATCAAGGACAAGATTGAAACAATGATTGAATCCGATGAATCTGATGAAATGTCAACTGTTAGTGATGCTTGCAGTAATCTTAGCTTAACGGAAAATAAATCAACAGTTGCAGAACATCCTAAAGCATTAACTACAGATAATAAGGATATGACCTCTGAAAGATCTCTCAAACATAAAAGAACTCCATCTGAAGAGAATTCAGAGACAGAAGTTCAACCAAAGAGACAGAAGAGATCGGCTAAAAGACATGCTGCCTCCAAAATAACAGAATCCAATATATTGATCTTATTGTCACGATTTTCCGTTATCAATGATCCATCACAATATCTGGTGACTCCTAGGGTTTTATCATGTATACTGGATTATATTCGCGAGGTTCCCGGTGCACAATCACGATCAGTACGAACTATGTCCAGGATTTTAAGGGATCCCTTGTGCTTGAACAGTTTGTTGAACATAGGAGCACCAGCCATTATTTATCAGAAACTTGTCTTAAATAATGAAGGTGTTGATTGTTCAGATGTCAGATCTTTAGTCTCCAAATCTAAGCGCCGGTCCTCACTAGAATCTACCTCTTCGTGGCTGAGTCCATTTTCTTCTCCGAGACAGTCTATCAGTGATTTTTCTCCGGATCCATCTGGAAAGAAATGGAACTTCCCAACTGACCCAGGGTCACCAACCAGTTCTACTGCAAGTCTAGATTATAGTGTGGCCAGTCCTCATTTTAAAAAAGAAGAAAAGGAAGAACCACCTATAGACGTAACACAGACTGGTGTAGAATTTCTGCGTGATCTGAGTTTTACTGCTGAGTCCCCATTTGGCCAAGGGGCCATAACTCATACTTTACTTAGGAAAACTAAAGCTGAACGACTAGCCTGTTGTCTTTCTCTTCAATTCTTATGTTGGTGAGTAAGATTTTATTTTATTTATAACATGCCGTGCATTTAATATCTGTATCGAAAAGTAAAATACACAACATAGATATAGTTTTTTAAAACCAAGTCAATAAATGTAGGACATCCATTGTTGTAATGATACTTATGATTCAGTTTGTCTCTTTTAATATTCCATCGGTCCTTTAAAATATGAATTAAAATGTTGGAATAAAAGCACACCTTATCCAAATGTTAATCCCAACCCCTTTCCTACTTACCCACATGTTCCTGAAGCAACGACCGCAAGTTTTACAACATCTAGTCGTTGCTTCAATACTCAACAATTCCCAAATTTTGGCGCTTGTTGTGTTTACACATGATTAATTAGCATTGTCCAATCAGAGGTCGTGGCACAGAACACACTGTAAACAAATATGGCGGCCTACATAGAAAAAGAAATAGACAAGTTTACAGCCTTTGTTGATCAACCATGATTTCCAGCAACCTTGACATTGATTGAACCTTGAACTTTGCAACTCGATTGTCACATGTAGACATTTTAGCTAGAAGCGCGAGACTTGATAATCGTAACCATATTTTTAACGAAGGAATCTGATAGGATCACAAGCTGGGCTTATACCCAATCGAAATTAGTGCTAAAATATGCGGGGTATTACGTGAAGGGCTTGATAAGATGTACGTAGTTAAGGTGAGATCAAGCCTTCAATTGAAGATGACTTACCCATAGAATATTCTTACCAATTTTGCACCTTTTCAATGCCAATTGAAATTATCTGACAGCCAAAAAACATTTATGGATTTCCTAGCTTATTTTATCATACATTAATATAAATTTGATTACAACTCTAGTGGTCATATCCCAAATAAATTTTGATTTTCTGTTTCGTATTTTCAGGAGCTCCAGTATGCAAGATCATTTTTTGGTGAAACATTTCACCCTAGATTCTTTATTGAATGTTATTCAGTCAAACGTTAACCATGCCATGCTACCTCATATTGTCAATGGACTCAACTTCCTTGCACATATGTCAAATATGAAAAGAAAACTGAAGAAGGAAGATAATGTGTCTTTTCCGGTGGTTTTCTTGCCACCAGTTCTTGATGAGCAGACGTGTCCATACTGGAATTGTAATCATGATGTTTTTTTTATGGTAGGGAATGAACAGTTTGGGGGAAATCGTGAAATACTAGTCAAACAATCGCCAGTATTTGCTGCCATGTTGGAAGGACATTATTGTGAATCCAACCAATCAGAAATCAGCATGCAAGATACCTCTCAAGATGCATTTCTGTTTATTTTACATTATTTTCATGGTTGTGGGTTGTGTTGTCCAATTTTAGCTGCACCTCATAAAGAGACAAAAAACTTAGAATTCTGGGAAAATGTGTTGACTCTAGCTGATCGGTATTTATGTCAGTTACTATCTGAATACCTTATTTGGTTAATAGCATCAACATACCTGACCTTTGACATCTATTTTCATATCTTTATGTACTCTATATTCCACAATTTTACAAGTTTGACAAATGAATGTGTCAGGATGATGTTTTCTGCTGAGCAGCCAGTTGTTTTGAAAGCAGGTATTGTTAAGAATATTATCAAGAATAATGGAGCTGGATTATTATGTAATTCAATTAAATCTGTTTTCCGAGAATGTATTGGTAAAAATTTTACATAATTAATGATATTTTAGATTTGATATATATTATTAGTACAGTGTACTTATAAAACCAGAAATTTTTTCAAGGTGGATAGAAAGAAGTAGGCTTATCAGCTAAGGGAGGTCCTGTGTGCATTTATATGTCCACTCAATTTGACTTTTGAATCATGATGGGAATAATCTGTGGGAGTGAAGAATACTGGGATGACCACTCTAGATCATGGGAAGAAAGAGTAAAATGCCACTGCCATTCGCTATTCGTGTTAGATGGACTTATATATATAGCTTGTCTATATTGGGCTAAAATTTGATATTTTTGTAATGAGCAGGGCATATCTAGTGATTATAGATTTTCTCCTAGTCCATTTATTTGATATTAATATGTTCTGTTCTCTACTACTACTTCTAACTGTAATTGAATATTGTTATGTTAATATATCTCATGAATTTTGAAAATTAAATTATTGAAATTGTATATAATGTATGTGACAGATAAATTAAAAATATATTACATATTATCATAATGTTAAGTATTGTTAAGAAACAATGTCATTAACATACATGTATATAGAATTTTTCATATGTTAATGTAGCCATATATTGTCATCACCTGTCTGTCAAAACTTACTTGCACTAGTCTATAGTACCAATTCTGCAGCCTTATTGATTTCGATTGTTTTTATACGCCCTCATCAATTAGTAGCAGCATTATTGACCTTTTATTTAAAACTTGCATGGAATTGAACCAACATGTAAATTAGAGAGTTATACAGAGCTATAATCACTCTGCAGGTAAAAGGTACCTTACTGAGTTTCTGTTTTTCAAAGCTTTCTTTCCAATGCAATCTAAGTCTTTCCACAAAATGTAAACAATTTAACTAAAATTGTGCATTTAAACTGACTGCTAAATTGACTATTTGCTGAAGTCATTGTTTCTTGTAAACACCAACTGTTTGTTACTAGATATTAAAAAGTGTTAAGTTTTATTGTGATATTTATATGCATTTTATGTCATTTTGAGGTCTGTTACCACTGAAAGCATAATTTTGGCCTACTATTCCAGTCCTTATTTAACAGGACCATCATTATTATCTCAGATGGAGCAGAAAAGTAGGGTGTTAAAACCCTTTTTCACTTAATTTCTTATTTCATTTAAAAGGTGAGTTGATGAAAGACTTCAAAGCTTTTGAAGCAGAATCGATTCTTAGACCATGAACTGTTAAGAATAATCTGTATAATTCAACTAATTCAAGCATTAACCCGGTTTATTTCTCAGTTTATTTCTTATCAAAAGATGAAATGACTGCACTGAACTTAAAAAGTATTTGAAAGTGTTGATGTACACATGTATTTCTTTTTTTATTTCCTTTTGGTTTCATTACCTCAATCTTGATGCATAGACTAAGAACATACTGTGATGTTATTATCTCCCTTCTGTGCAACATGTGTGAGGGAGGGAGAGAGGTTATTTCGGGACTAACACATGGTTCAATTTTATTTTAATAAATCGCTTGCGCGTAGGGGTCTTTAGCAGTGGGAGGACCCGAAGAAAACCCACGGGGTTGGACAGACGACCCTACTCCTTGACAGACCCTATGATATAGCAAGCGCACATGCTAACTATTCGGCCATCCAACCCCCCCACATACAGAAATGTAGAGAGAAAGAGAGAGAGGTCATTTCGGGACTAACACATGGTTCAATTGTATTTCAATAAATCGCTTGCGCGTAGGGGTCTTTAGCAGTGGGAGGAAACCGAAGGACGCGGAGAAAATCCACGAGGCTGGACAGGCGACCCTACTCCTTGACAGACCATTTGATATAGCGAGCACACATGCTAACTATTCGGCCATCCAACCCACCCACATACAGAAATGTAGCACTATATTAGATTTACCTTATATGTACTATCCTTATAGTACTAAATTAATGATACAGAGTGAGCTTGGTAGACTGTAATATTCAAGCACGCAATAATTTGATAGCGTTTAACCAGTCTCTCAGTCTCACTAACCAGTTAGTGACCATACCCATTACGTTCTTGTTATGTTCTTATGGTGGCTGTTAGCGGCCATTCAAATGAATCTAAATCGTGGCCTTCTTAAGAAGGCGACAAGTCAACAAAATCAACCCGCCGACATGAAAAAATAACCTGATGATCGTCGCCTTCATTTCATCGACTTGTCAGGTTAATTCTGTCGACTTGTCGCCTTCGACTTATTCACAACCTGACAAGTCGACAGAATACAATTATTTCGACTTGTAGTGCGGCGACTTGTCGCCTCGGAAGTCAAACTCGAGCTTGCGCATTTGCTGATTGGATAACTTGCATGCGCACAGATTAACTTCTGAGGTGACAAGTCGCGGCACGACAAGTCGAAATAATTGTATTTTGTCGGGTTGTGAATAAGTCAAAGGCGACAAGTCGACAAAATCAACCCACCGACACAACAAAATAACCCGACGATCATCGCCTTCATTTTGTCGACTTGTCGGGTCAATTCTGTCGACTTGTCGCCTTCAATTTATTCATAACCCGACAAGGCGATAAGTCGACGAAATCAACCCGCCAACACGACAAAATAACCCGACAAAATACAATTTTTTCGACTTGTCGCCTCAGAAGTTAATCTGTGCGCATGTAAGTTATCCAATCAGTAAATGCGCAAGCTCAACTTTGACTCAATGAAATATATTCAATGAAAACACAGAATAAGCCATCATCGTAAGTTTATTGTACATGTATATGACAAAACAGTGTACATGTATATTACACAAGCAAGAAACCTTTCACATATAATGTCAACAAGTTCTTTCTGTTTAATAGTTTTAATAACGTCATGTCATCATTACTTTTTTTTTTTTAAATCACGGGTTTAGTTTTAATAAAGAACTCACTTTAAAGTTTGGGAATGTGCACAATATGTACAGGACTGAATCAGATAAAACATAGATGTTTTAAAAAGAAGTGACATAATTTTGCATACCAGATGGTGTTATACCGAAAAAAAACTGCCACAAACATAAAGACAGTCCTGCTGTCAACAATTAATATTACCGTAATGAAATTTACAAATACATGTAATTACAATTCATTAGTCAAATTATCCATCAACGTTTTTTTACATACACGATTTAATATTTGTATTTCGATTTAACTTATAATGGCAACATTAAAAGCACACAAATTAATAGCTCAACTTTACACTTTATTAGTATATTCTTTATTTATACACAGCTACATAATATACATGTAAGGTCATTTACTCTATCCAACATAGATATTACTTTAGAATACTTAAGATATTAATGCCAATGTTATGAGAAACAATTGTATTTATATAGATCAATAGTAAAACTAGTAAACTATGCACCAGTGAATGTGTATTTCTATTCATATTGTGTAGAACAATCATACACATATAATATGAAATTTTCTATATATAAAATATCTCTAGAAAGAGTCACTCATTCTAATTATTTTGGAGACATGCTATTATATGAAATATATAGAAGAATTTTCTGCCACCGTTTCTAAAATTTTGAGGTTATCAATATAATTATTATCTTCACAAAGTCATCATCTAAAGAATAATTTTTGACTAAAGACCACTTGATATATTTACATGTATTAAGGTCTATGAAACTATAATAAAACAATCTTAATATAAATCTAACTTTGTGCATATGATCCTTCAATATGTATATAAAGTGACATATAGAGACAAGAAATTTATTTAAATTCAAACAAACCTAAACTAGTTCCACAATACCAGATCCATGTTATTAAAGCATAAAAACTATTCTCATTCATAATATGAAAGTTCATACGATTTGCAAAGTTCTAACCCAATTTCTTCACAGAGCAATCTTCAAATAAACATTAGTGCTTTATCTTGATGAAATGTTACATTTTAAAGTAATATTTTTTAAATTGTTTCCGAAATCCCAGTCTTAGCAAAATCAACTCTGAAAAAAATGTCTTAATTTAATGAGACAAAATATATATATTAGTCCATGAATGTCATCTAATAAAAATATATATTTCCATGATTTGTCAGGAACAAATAAAAAATATTATTTACTGGTAACTTTTAAATCATAAATCATTTTATATGGACAAACATTGCTAAATTTAATATTAAAGTATGTGATCGTCATTTGAAAGATCTTTAACTTTACACAGAACATGTGTTCTGTATAATATACCTCTGACGTCCTCAAAACATCATACGAGCAAGCATATTATGAAATGGTAAGGTACTGTAAGTGACACAAATTATTAAATTACTTGCATGCACGATTAATAGTAAATGGAAAATACCATTTTATTAAATGTATTTTTTATATGTGAAGTGTACATGTACATATTACAATTGTATTTGTAGTATATTTATTAAATAAGGAGACGAACTAATATAAGCCTTTGGCTTGTTTTTGAATCCTTATACCTTTTGACAGTGTATGTATACAATATCCATCTGATTTAAATAAAGTATTGTTTAAATCAACATGTGTTCATAATAATAACACACTAGGCTTTGGAAAAGTATTAAAGCTGCTGATCTTGGTATCCCCAGTGGTATCGCTCTGTTTTACCTGACTAACCCCTGGGGCTATCCACATGATTTTCACGAATTCAAGTTATCTGCCCTTGATTGTATCTTAATTCTATGAACCATCAAAAAACAGTTCACATGCCAGTCTTAGTGTCATTGTTTACTTTCACCACAATAATCTTAGTTGCAATAAAATATGAGTTACTTCCCTATGCCCACTCGGTTGGTTGAATGCAAATGACGATCAACGACTCTTATAATAACAAAAGTGAATAAACTCCTCTGGTATGTATGATTTTATATTTACAGTTCATTATATTTTCAGGCCAAAGTAATTATGGGATGTGAAAAAGTTGACTTAAATATCCTTGAAGAAACTGATCTTTAAATACATGTAGCCATATTAAACAAGTCAATAGATTTTAATATCATGGTAAATATCAAAACTATTATCTATAAAACAAATCTACTACAAATAAATAACAATAAGAAAAATAAACAAAAGAAATGAATTTTAAAAAATGTAACGAATGACCCTGTCAATAAAGATTAATGTATGTTGTGCATATCGTTGCATATTTTTTAAAATCAAGTTTAATATTTATTTTGGCTATAGAAGAACAAAACTCATAAAATTATCAGCATTGGATAGCCATTAATTTTAACTGTCTAAATTCTTTCTAAATTGTTCTTATCCCACTGGTACTAGTATATCAACACTGAGGTTTATCCATTGCTTTTAATAACTAAACTAAATGATAAATAAAGATTTGGCTTGGCCACGTATCCTGAGAAAAGTTCTCAATGAATTTAAATCAGTGCTAAACCTTAAGTTATATGGATGAATTTATAACACCACCAAAGATCCCCATCAGCAGCATACAGACATCATACCGGTACATACAATTTCAATGTCACAACTTCAATGTTGTTGTTTTCAGAGTACATACAGCCAGACAATTAATGATCTATTTCTTTTTTTTTTACCTGAATAATGTCTACAGGTTTTGATAAAGGTAAACTCCTCTCCCCATATATTTTACTTCAATTCAAGCACATAATTGTTGCATAAAATGGTAAATATCATTTCTATAAATGGACAATAGAAGCGAACACAACACTGTGATTATCTTGTTATAGATTAAGTATTTAACACTAGTAAATAAAATAAATATCACAGTTCAAAAAGAAAACAAAAACCATAATTCTAAAGAGGGTGCAGGGTGGTAGATTCCTTCTCTCCAAGTTTATATGAAAGAATGCTTTAACATAAAAAAGATTTATGGCACAAATCAGATAATTGATTAATGACGGAGCCTTGAACATGAGATGCACTTCCTTTTCTGGAGTAAAGTCATATGTATCCATTAGTAAACTATATAGTATAATCAGTTACCCTGGAAAATCTGATAAACTTGGAAGAGAAAGCTAGTGCTATATCAGTATAAAGCAGTAGTTATTACTAGTATTTTGTGGGATTTGAATGAGTCAGTGAAATAACTAGGTGATGGTATTTATATTTAGATGAATAACATTAACATCATATTTATATAAATAAAACTTAATCAGATTCATCTTTTGCCGACATTCCTCTTACACTTCCTTCACATCTAGCCTGTAAATAAATAAAAAAAATATATAATTGACCATTAGACAGCAAACATTCCTCTTGCTTATCCTTTACTTCTAGCATGTAAATGAAATGAAATGAAATGGGGTTTAACGTCCTACTGTTTTGCTCCGAACTGGGATAATGAAGACGGGCATACACCATACAGTGTGCTATGAGGGAAATTTTGCCTGGACAGCGGCACTACGGCCTCCTCTTACATCGAATTCCAACTGTCAAGGGAGCTTTTACGTGCACGCCAATGTGTACACGGGGCCTCGGTTTTTCATCTCATCCGAATGACTAGACAGCTGTCCTTGTCAGGCCCTCCGTCCTGCATCACTGACAAGGGGGAACCACGCCTGAAAATCTGGATGAACTTTCTCGGCCAATGCAGGGATCGAACACCCGACCTCCAGGCTAGTGAGCCAGCGTCTTACCCACTTAGCCACATGATCCCCAGCATGTAATTAAATAAAAGATATATAACACACAATGAGGAGACACAAGTAAAACAAAATAAAACAAACATAAGCATTTGGAATGTGCTATAACAAACAAACATTGACAGAATTGATGGAAATTGTTGAATAGGCAGGTGACCATAATCCTTGTCAAATAAATCTTGAGATTAAAATTGGTTTTTTTTAACAATTTAGAATCTGTACGAGCACGTCGAGCAGCCACTCCTATTCAGCGACATCTCCTTGTACATGTAAGCGGTCACAATAAATTCCCCTGGTAGAAATTCTATTGTTTTATAACTTTAATCAACGGTCACTCCTCTAATAAATTTAACAAAACATTGCCCATTCAACGGCCATTGTTGAATGATACCATCTTGTTATTAACAGTTTATTATTTGGCCCCCCACCGATCAGGTAAAAAGAACTGTAAAAATAACAATAAACCCGGGATTATCAGTTAATTCATCTTTTGTTTTATTAAATTACAAACCCTGATCATTGTTTTCACACGTAACAAGACATTATTTGATACTGATTGAATAAACTAAAAGTACCCTCAAAGCCAAGTTTTGTCACGATAATCTAGTATCTTTTTTCCACTGTCAATTTTGTTGCTAAACAGATGTTTTAACACCTATATTACATACACAGGTGGACATGTGTTTTATTGATGAAATAAAATTAATTCATGGATTTTCTTCACAAAAATGGATAAATATTATCGAATAAGTCACAATGGTAGACAGAAGTATCAATGTTGGTGCAAAATGACACATTTACAGGAGTTATATCAGGGATTTGAGTCAAAGAATTTTCATTCCAAGCAGGTTATAGTGACTGCCAAATTTACCGATGCAAGTATTCATGTTTGCTCCCAATACATCCAGGTGTAAACTTTACTTGATGTTAGCACTAAAAAACACTGAGATTTTATTAAAAGGTCACTCCCGTAAGCGACCCGTCATGAAAATTTGCTTTAGTGGCTGCTTAATACAGATTGTACTGTATATAATCACAAGAGATTGGGTAAAAACATCACTTACTTTATCTAAATCTTTCTTTGTTTTTTCTTCAAGTTCACGTATATCTGCCATTGTCAATGGATACCATTCATCAGTCCAGCAGAATACTTGGCGATGGAAATTGAAGAAAAGTCGTTCTTCTTGCTGCAGGACGAAAAAAAATTAACGTAAAATTATTAAAATATTTAAGAAGATTGACATCACAGAGGACCAGGAGGTGTACATTCTACACAAATGATATACTACAAATGGCTTTACAACACTGAAGTCAGTGATCATTTGAAGGATTTTGAAAGTTTGCAAATTACAATATTGTGAATGTCTAATATCTAAAAGGAATATCAGTCCAAAAATGGTTCAGTTCTTTACAGTATTTACAGACAAATGATGAATTAAACATAAATAATGCCATCTTTAAGTGTTGGGTTACAATTTTCAATGGGTATCTTTTTGATCTGACTGAATCCAAACTGGGTGATTATCTTTGATATTCTGGATTTCTTTTCTTAACTCAATTTGGAATAATCAGTTTGAGTACTTTGTGTGGAAAAAAGATATTGATCAAAAAATGCATATGTCAGTTATAAATTCACTTGTAACTGATAAAACTAAAACTGTTATTTCCAGGTCTATTCAGTAGGAATTATGTCAATTCTTAGCTAACTCTAATATTCCTCTTTAATCAGAAATATTAAAGGAGTCAAGTTTTTAACTCAACATTATCCACAGTCTTTGAGATTGCAAACACGACTTCTTGGTCAATTTAAATCAACATTTACCATGAAAAGTTGGCCTTCTGATATCCAATATTTCAGACAAAATGAAAATTTTAAAATTGGCTCACAAATCGATGAACGAGCCTAAACATATCCCATGTAGGAGAATACTACCGGTGTAGACTGGAATAACCAGACACCAAAGACAGGAATTCAATTCAGACTCCTCGGGTATTTCGCTAAACATAACTGATTAGAAATTACAGTAAAAACAGAAATGATTGAATGTAAATCAGTTTATATAATTCATATTACATTATTACAGTGGACAATGTCAATTCCAACATCGTACGAGATCGCTACTATATGCTGGATTACGAAGCATGTAGGAATACTCAATTGCCCCAATTGCACCTTTGGATACCGAAAGTATTGTTATAATGCACACTCGAATATCCAGAACTTAAAATATGATAACACTTTCTGTACATTCAAATTTCTATTACATTATATCAATTGTATAACAAGACACAATAACATAACAATACATGTGCATTACAATTTACTTTGAATATCTTTAATTTGAGTGAATGTTTTCAAATCATGTAATATGTGCTTGAAGAAGGTACCAAGGATTAGATTAGTTCTGCAAGCGGTATATTGTCATCTTCGTCGTCAGAAGATGCACCAACCCGAATAAATAGCACTTTTTATCCAAGCCTTACGATTGGCTGACCAATTTACTGACAGGTTGTTAATGTCCACTTGTGCATCAGTCTGTTGATGTGTTCAAACTTAGCGTACAAGTAAAATCGTTTCTTACTGCTGTAAAAGTTATCGGCAAATTTTTGTTTGAGTTTATTTTTTCACTTTAAAATGTTAGATACTGTAGTATGGCCAATTGAATACTTAACGGCTATATTCCTTCTGTGTAGGTCGTGGAACTTCTCAAAATCTGCTATAATTTGCGGCTTGACATCCAATGTCAAATCCGTACGGGCACGCTTTGCAAGACAATCACACATTATGAACACAATATTATATTATAATGATTCTTCATCTTGCCAATTTATATATAATGTCGCTGTATTTGATGTGAGAAACTCAAATCAGATACCTTGCAATCTCTAACAAGAGATTATAAAATTATAATCAACAGATAATTGATTGGTGATTGCTTGTTGGTTAACACCCACTGATTGAAGGCTGGTTTATCCAATGTTAATAGAATGCAAATAGTGTGATGGGATCGCAGATTGATGTCGTAATTCAAAATATTCAGAATCCAGACTACTCAAAACTTTTTTTGTTGAAGTAATAAGGAAATCAATTGGGAGATCAAAATGATGATGGATTTTACAGAATGCTGTAGCATTCAGCCGTTGAAAGTCCACTATACATGTATATGCAATGCGACCTATTTGTGTCCCTTTCTAGGTGCCAAAGAACAGCGATTTAGCTCCTTTAAACACTTTAAATAACTATATCATACCTTTTGGACTAATTTTTCTACCTTGGTTTGTAAACCCCACCATTTAAATTTTATTCGAACTAGTTTATACGCACACATAACCGGATTAACAGTTTCCTGAAGAAAAAAAAAAAAAATCAAAGACTAATTTACTTCACAGAATTATTTAGCTTTATTTTCAGCTGAAAGTTCATTCAAAATAAATTTACATGTACATTTATTAGTTTTTTTTCTAAAATCACACATTAAAGACATAACGTCATTGATTATAAAGTGACAATCCTTCCAAAGCACTTATATTTCTTTTCATGTTATTTAAACATATTTTGAAATTCAATACAAATGTTTTCAACTAAAGGATTAAAGATAGGTTACCCGGCAACGAAACATACACAGTATGCAAAGTCATCCAAGCAGTTAACATATTTTTTTTTCCTTTGTTCGTAATGAGAACATTTACAACACACTAAAAATCTTATAACGAGTAACAACCCAGAAATCGTTAGAATTCCATAAACACTGTGTATAAATCTTTATTAACTTTACCCTCTAGTGCATCCACAAGATTTCTCAAGTAATCAAGGGCCATAACTCTGGAAGTAATTATCGGAAATCAATAGGATTCTTCGTCTCATGACTGTAAATACTGTGTATAAATTTAAAGTCAATCGGATATTAACATTAGCCTTTAGAGCTTCCACAAGATTGTTTAACGTGATCGAGGGCCACAACTCTTCACCGCATGAACATAAACTCTGTGTATCAATTTAAAGTCAATCGGATATTAACTTTAGCCTCTAAAGCGTTCACAATCAATTGTGGACGCCAAAACAACGGACGGATATGGGTGACGAATATATATGACCACATTTCAATGTGGGCGTATAAAAACTGTTACTAATGTCTTACCTTCCAGTCAGGAGTATTAAGGGGACCTCGACCAGTTTTTTGAGACTTGTATAATTTTGGATCCCATTCTGTTTTATAATCCTGAAAAATATCAGCTTTAATCATTAAATACAGTTTACATGTCTGACCCTTTATGGAATAGTCAACAGTTCAAACAAATACCAGTACATACTGATGTAGTTACCACTGACCAAAAACCATGTAATAATTAGTGCTCCTACGGTTAGGACTTTTTGTTATTCAAATAACCATAGCTATTAACCGGTTAGTAACCGTTTAACCATTTGGTATCAATTTTCAACATAAAACAGACCTTGTCAGGGGGTGCAAGTCATCACTCGTGCGCAAGCTATACTCACCTAAAAATGCATTATTCGCACAAAAATTTCGGGAAACTTTTCATAGAAATGTACAATTCTTTAATGAAAATCTAAATTATCTAAGGCCATACTTATTTCATTACCTGGTTAACTTGGTTCATTTGAACCATTTTTTAATTTAATATCTACGATAATATACAAGACAATACGTGACATGGCGATAATATTACGATTACACAATGTTACTACTTAGATTTGAATAAAGTAAATTAGAAGGCGACTATGGATTGGACAATAAAGAAATAATTTCGGGTTTGCAAGTAGAATGATTGGTTAATTTAACTGAAAACCAAAGTAGAATTCTCGAGAGGATTTACGAGGTATGCAACGTGTAGAATGTAACAAAAGTACTATAATGTCATTTTCTAGCCTTTATGATTATATTTTGAATGGTGGTTTCATCTATCTTCTATATATATATATTTGTGACTGTCGTTTGTCGGTCTGTCTGTCTGTTTGTCTGTTCGGGGTTGGCGGCTACACTAGGTCTGCACTATTAAACAAGGTAGAATATAGTTAGAAATGCCAAGAAGTATTTGGATAGGATTAACAATAGCAAAAGTCAGAACAAGGTCCAATGACTTCCCGTAGGTACACTAGTAATAATGCCTACGATAAGTTCTCTTTTTAGATACATATTGTTACAACCAGTTTAACCTATTTATGTAAAAGCAATTTTAAGTTGTAAATAGCAAACAACACAATTTCTGTACATGTTCTATGTGTTCATGACATAAAGTTTTGTGAAAATTAACTTGACAAACACCACCCAGGCAACATGCCTACTAAATGTTTCCTACATTTATATTAGAGTGATGTAAAGTTGATAAAGACACAAACCAGCAGTTTCCAGGCAAGATACGCTCACATTTTGCAAGAGATAGAGAACAGGCTAAACAAGAACATGATTATTTGTACAATCGGGGCTATAATCAAGTTACGGTCCAATATGCATGAATATCGAAAGGAACTGAGATTTGGATATAAACATATATTTTAAGTTTCATCAAGTTCGGATAAAAACTGTGACCACGGGACAGACGGACGGGGGCGACGACAATATATGATCACATATCAATGTGGGCATTTAAAAAGTAAACTAAAGACCATGCAGATTACAAATTAACCCAACTAAAACTCATTGGTGATAACAAATAAAAAGAAAATTAAAATATTAAAATTTGTTTATTAAAGATGCATTATGTAAGTTCTCTCAGTCAAATTACTTTATTCTGAGTGATGTTATGACTGTTTGCATGGCTTGATTATCCATTTTTAAATTAAATTTTTAAATGATTATTGTGTTTTAAACCATTCAAAATGACAAACATCTGATCAAACCGCTGACCTAGAGAGTTGATTATGGGATTGTCATGTGAATAAATGCCTAATTAATAATTTATATAATATTTGAGGCCAAAAGAAAGATCTGCAATAGGCAACTTTAGCTATTACATAATGCAACTTTATGTTAGCCCCAGTACTGTTTCAATATATTATGCAATATCTTGCAATTAAACCACACAGATATTATCCTGCACATACATTTCTATGTAATTGTCATACGGGTCAAATATTGCATGTAGTATAAATAATGTACAATTGACACATTGCTCGAGATCATTAAACAATAACATCCTGCACGTGCTTTTCAATGTAATCGTCATGCGAGTCCATTATTTCATCTAGTATAAATAATGTACGATTGGCACATCGCCAGTATATTATTTGAAATAAGGTGCGCCAACACCAAAGAATGGTGCGCCAACATCAAAGCATGGCATCACATCTGTATTTAAATCATAATTAATTAACCTCTATCAAAATAAAATGGGATTTAATGCCCTACTTTTCTGTACCAACCATGCAATTGATGATCTCTTATCAATAAATACTCTGAAATAAGTAGATAAAATACGGGTGTGAATTACCTGTACATATTTTTCTCTGAACAGTACTCAATAAGCATTAGTTTAATTCTAAAGTATTCAATATAACCCTATTACATGATTCCCAATATGCATTTCCATTCATCAGCAATTATACAGACATTTGAAACGTTTAGTTCAAAGGTCAATTCACATATTAACCCAGAAAAACTTTAGAATTTTGGGAAAAATGTCCTCCAAACGTATTATTCAAATGATGGAATTGACATTATTTATAGGCAGTAATTTGTACAACTTCATTGGCCAGGAATAGTAACAAAATAAATGAACATAATGGCAAGATATCATACATGTACCAGTTCATATCACCTAGCTTAATATCACCAATTTACAAATTACACATACAAAGAGATATTGTGGTACAAAACATGTGCAAAAGAATACATTTTGAAATAATACTGTTGACAATATCCAGCAGGCAAATGTTCTATATTTTTAACTGATTCTACCATGTTATGGTTTCTACAAATGACAATTTAATAGAGGTGAAAAGTACATGCCAAAATGTAAATTCAAACTGTGTAATTAAAGAAAACTTACTGCCTGAGATTTCACTTTGCCAGCAATATCTATATACACTACTTGTCGTATTTTCTTGTCCTCTTCACTTAAATTATGAACCTGAACAAACAGAAAATAAGCAAATGTTATACAATTGTTGACAACAGTTAAGGTGAATATCACTTTTGAGGGTAAATAAATTCTAGTAGCAAGAATATCCATAGTCTATAATTGAGAAAGGAAATGAAATTGGTATAATTTTGAATTACATTACTGATCAAAGTTTTGTGTCAATTATGACAATGGTCTTTCTAAAAAAATACACTTTAATCAAGTTTTGCACAACCTAGCTACTATATCAAGGAACAGAGAAAGACACATGTATGGTATTCAGTGTGATTTTTGTATATCTGAGGATGCCTAGATTGTTCTGCCCAGTTGTGTCTCTAGTTTACATATACTCCTTACAGACTTGGTCGTGGGGAATTCCCTTTGGCACACTTATTAGAGCTGTATGAATTCCATGGACACATCCTGTCAATCACAAAAAAGTGATTGCGCTCAAATTCAATCCTAGTTTTTGTCTACACATAAGAATCCTTATCCCAAGGTCTGAAAAAGATTTGTTAAAAATAGTGGCTTCTATAAAGCGGACCAGCAAAATTGCACTAATTAAGGGCCACAACTCTGGAACAAAAATAGCAACTATTGTTCAAATTCAATCATCTACTGTTGAATCATCATCCTAAGGTTTGAAAAAGAATCATCAAATATTGTGGCCTTTGGAAAACAAACAAGCAAAATTATTCTAATTAAAGGGCCATAACTCTGGAACGAAAATAGCTTTTGCGATCAAATTCAACACCAACAGTTGTCTACTCATAAGAACCGTTGTTTAAGGGTTGAAAAAGATTTCTCCAAGCAAATGTGGACCAACCGACCGCATTATATGCCCATACTATGTGTGGGCGTATAATAAGGGGATTTCTAGAATGGAGTCGATTGGCAATAAATTTAACTATGATCGTCTATCAACTTACATTGTCTGACTGACCACGATCTGGCATATGCATTGATTCTATGTTTATGAAAAAATTGTCCTTCATATAATCAGGATTCTGAAACAAAAAATATAAAATCAATCAATATTCTTTCTTCAAAAACATTTGTCTTCATATTTTTGAAATAACTATTACATTTTAATATGGCCAGTATCCATCTTATCAATCTTACTAGTGCTCCGCAATATGGCTGTGATCAGTGTTACCATGGTTCTACAATGTGGCTGTGATCAATTTTACCAGGGTTCTATAATATGACTGTGATCAGTGTTACCATGGTTCTACAATATGACTGGGATCAGTGTTACTATGGTTCTACAATGTGGCTGTGATCAATTTTACCAGGGTTCTATAATATGACTGTGATCAGTGTTACCATGGTTCTACAATATGACTGTGTTCAGTGTTATTATGGTTCTACAGTATGGCTGTGATCAGTGTTACCATGGTTCTACAATATGGCTGGGATCAGTGTTACTATGGTTCTACAATATGACTGTGATCAGTGTTACCATGGTTCTACAATGTGGTTGTGATCAGTGTTACCATAGGTCTTCAATATGTCTGTGATCAGTGTTACTACATTTATGCATTATTGCTGTGATCAATCTTAACACTGTTCTATAATATGACTGTGGTCAATCTTAATACTGTTTTACAAAATGGATGTAAAGTGTCATCAGTGTTACCATGTTTCTACAATATAGTTGTGATCAATCTTACCATGGTTCTACAATATTGGTGTGATCAATCTTACCGTTATCACTGTTCTACAATACGGGTATGCATTCCATGCTTTTTCGTGTATCTCCAAGGCACCCTTAGGAGCTAGCATTCGTATAAAAGTTGGAACTTTACTGAAAAATACAATTTAATGTTAAAAAGCTATTAATATTAAAATCAAAATTTAACACAAAATAAGACATTCTTTAATTATGAAAAAGTAAAATTTCAGACAAGCCAGAAATTAAGTACCACTTCATTTTATTATTTATCAAACTGCTCAATATTTCTTCCAAAGATTTTAAAAAGCTATATACCACTGATACACAAAAATCTATACAGTTATTGTTAAAGTCTTTTACAATTTAAATTACAGGGATTTAAAAGGTCTAGCAGGCTGTGCTGAGAGATTCATTCAATAAATACACAAAAAGAATACACTCATTTAGACAAACTGATACATAGCTCAAAGCAGATTGCATTTAAGTACCGGGGGGGTGTCTATCAATTTCAGTTTAAAGCTAAATAATAATGTACATTCACTATAAAACAAGATATCATTGCATGCAATGGATCAAAGCAAATATCAAAGTCACTGACTTGGATTCATTTAGATTATAAAGCAGTGGCAGCGAGAATGGCGAATATTACAAAGTTTTCAATTCATCATATATTTGCAAATACTGAACACAATTGAACTGATAGTTTCAGAGATTCAATACTACATGTTATAGTTTACTTTAATTCCAAGGGATTCTAAATCCAAGCCTGGAAATAAAGCACCTGTGAGTGACGATGTCAGGCACAGATTCAGGCTTTGTCAGGCACTAAACCTCTGGTGCCTGTCATTTTGTCCGGCACTGATTTGTCTTTTTTATTGATATTATTCATACATGTCCGGCACTGAGTTGAAAATGTCAGGTACTATTTCATTAGTGCCTGACATTTTGTCAGGTACATGTAAAACCGTTATTTCTAGGCCTGTCTAAATCTATGAAGTAAAGTGTTGATTTGAATTAATCTAATGTAATATCTCAAATAGATTTAGGGCAAGCTCAGAACAAATAACTTTTTGCTTCAACAAGTTGTTTTACCAATTTTCGTTTTGATACTGGAATAAAATGTCAGTTTTATGCCAATGATTCAACAATTTCCATTATTTTTAAGTAAAAGTGTTAAGAAAATACCTTGCCAAATGATATATTTTATGTGTATATTGTCCAACTAAAAACTTTTGTCCGTTCGCTTGTAAATCTTGGTATCTGTCATTATCAGCCGTTAATCCATTATTATCAAAAGGTTCATTTGCTAAAACTTCTATTCCTTCACCACCCCCGGTCTCATTTTTACTGGCCTCTGCTACAGAATATAATTGGGCTCTTTGGTACTGAAAATAGAATAATTTTTGGTAATGATAATGTTCAGTATAGTAAAGAAACACGTATTGTAATGCAGAGCTCTCGATTCAATCATATTTTTATCTGACCCGTTTTGACTGATTCTCAGTAAAATTGACTGACTAAAGAATTTTACTGGTCAATTTACATGTCGTAGAATTTGGCCCCTAAAAGAAAAGAAATACAGTTATGTGTAAAAATTTTACATATAAATTGAGTAACGACAAAATTAACATTCTGTTAAAGAAATGTCTTCCTTATCTGAGATGAACGAAACGGACACAAAGATTTGACAGGTTTCCGAAATGTTGAAGTGAGAGCCCTGCCGTAATGTATCCTGTCACCACATGTCACTAAACCAAAACGTTTGAAATGGTTTTACTGTCTTTATTATATTACATATAGCAATATGTCGCGTTACTAACTTATACCAGTTTGTTTGATCTGGAACTAGTTCCCAAGCCAAGCAATACTCATTTGTTGTTCTTGACGAGAATCTATTTGAAAAATCCTAAAGCTCTGCCAATAAAAGTATGATTAACATAAAACATGGCAGGTATGTTCCCTGGATAATTGTGCATCAATTGAAGGACTTGGACTTTTGATATTATGCCATAATTCCAAGATGGCGCCAAGCTCAGTTCCTAGTTCCAATCTAATTTTCAAAAGAAGTCTCTTAAGAATCCTTATTGGAAATGGATCAATCATACAAGACATTATAGAAATTAATTAAGTTTGAATGTGTGGTCAATATATAATCAAAATCACAACAAACAATATCTTTTACATCAAATATAAGAGATGTTAATTATTAACTATAGAATGATTTAACATACCTCATCTACCGCCATAGGTAGTACCACACGACTGAAATTATACAATAATAAATCATTCTTATACAATAATAAAATAAAGTAGCAATAAATGATATAGATAAGGCCACAAAAATCTTAAAAGAGTTTTGCTCTTAATAAAGAGAAACTAGAGAAAAATCTTTGACATACTAGTACATATATGCAATGTTTGTTAGTTGATACTAGGCCTAAATCTATTTTCAATGATGTTAGCATTGTTGAAAATCTCAACGCCTTGCATGACAAGTATGTCATTGTACCGGCTGACAAAGCGTCCAATAACTTAGTGTTTATATGTAAACGATATTATTATGACTGCCTGTTCCAAGAACTTAATTTCGGGAAATCAATCGACAGTGCTACGTATAAACGCTCTACGCTTAGTAAGGATGAAATTATATCCAATCACAGATCTGTACTCACTTCATTTGGTACTCATGTGGAGATACCTATACAGATCTGCCCTTGGGATATTGGATACCTAAACTACATAAAAAATCCCTACAAGCAACGTTTTATAGCAGGTTCATCCCGTTGTTCCACAAAACCACTTTCAAAAGTATTGACATCTTTTCTAACAGCAGTGAAAGAGGGTATTCAAAAATACTGTGACAAAATATACTCTCGTAGTGGTTTTAATCAAATGTGGATATTAAAAAATTCCAAAGAGTTACTTGATGGTTTACAATCTAGATCACTTGCTTCAATCTCATCTATACAAACATTTGACTTTTCTACTTTGTACACTAAAATTCCCCATAGTAAATTAAAAGCTTGGTTAAAAGACATTATTCACAGTGTCTTTTCATCTAAATCGGGAAATGTTAGATATCAATATTTAGTTGTTAATTACAATTCCACATATTTTGTTAAGAACCATAGTGATTCCAAAAATAAATTCACCGCCAACAAAATAATTCAGATGTTGGATTTTTTAATTGATAATATCTTTGTTGTATTTAGAGGGGAAATTTATCAGCAAGTGGTAGGTATCCCCATGGGCACCAACTGTGCACCTTTGCTTGCCGATTTGTTTCTTATTCCTACGAAGCCGATTACATACAGGCACTCGTAAAATCAATTAAACGATTAGTCAGACATTTTAATTTCACTTATCGATATATCGATGATGTTCTATCACTGAATAATCCAAAATGTAGTGATTATGTAGAATTCATATTCCTGATGAGCTCGAAATTAAACACACTACTGACAGTGACAATTACGCTTCCTACTTGGATCTGCGTCTCGATTTTGACAATTGCCATAATAAATTTAGTGTTAAATTGTACGATAATGGATGATGGATAATGCACAGATAGACATGGGTTCAAACAATATGTGACATCTTAATGTGGGTGTGTAAAGAGTTAAAGTGTTCAGAACTAAAACAACATGAGCTCACTGTTTGTATTTGCTGCAGTCATGAATATTATTCCCCAAAATAAATTTTAACGACAATTTTAATACAATAGGGTAGATTTTGGGGGGGCTTATTAGAAAACTATTTTTAATATTTCACAAAATGAATTAACATGTACTTAAATCAAATCTATATATCGATATGTTACCACGTTCAATACAACTCTTTAACAGCCTCAATAGACCTACGTAAATATGATCTATATTTCTATTTCCAAAGATTAGCTTAAAAGTTCATACAATACACTGTCAAGCTGATATCTTCACTTATAAACATCTACCATAAACAGATCTTAGTTGTCATTTAATATGCTTAATGTTCACTAGTGAGTTAATGGTTAGTAATCCGACAGTAGTCATTACATAGTAAGTAGGAGTTATGTCATTAAGTTGTTAAGACTGTGACCATTAAATGACACAACTATTGGTTGGGTTTGTGTATTCAAAAGGTGTGGGGATATTAGAAATAAGCTTTCACACCAGAAGTGACATATTTTACAGTTAAAAAAAATACTTGATAATGACCGACTAATCACTCCAGTTTCACAGTGTTATCAATAGCTGTACATTGCTATTAACAGTCTAATCATTGAACTGTTGACCTACATATATCGGTATTTGACCTTTTATATTTACGTGTTTGACACCTTCGTTCAAAACACCTATTGTTTCTGTAATTGTTTTTATTATATTTTCTTTTGGGGGGGGGGGGGGAATTTAGTCAGTCTGTGCAGCCAAAACTTTACATGGTGCCAACATTCTGCCAACGTAGATGTGGTTGGCCTCCGTGCGGCTATTTAATAAATATAAATTGGGTCATTATTGACGTACAGGAAGTGTTTTACGTATGGGACAAAAAATAATCTCAGATTGCCCATATCTTGGTTATTTCTCAGCGGATCTTCTACGAGTTTTCATTTTTGGATTCTTTGGACAAATCCCATATGGGCCCTGACTGATGGTTTTTAGAAATTCGGAAGTTCGATCGATTAATATTAGCATCAAATATTTGCGAAAATTTTCTTCATCATTCTTTCGACAGTCAAGATGGTATACCTTCGTCACTATTTGAGGCATCAACATCAAGTTGAAACTTGGCAGGAATAAGGAACACACAGATGCCTTCAAAATAGTATATAAAAAAATTTTGTGACAGCTTCCAGAAACTTCTGGAATTTATTGAGGCCTTCCGAATCTTTCCGGAACATAAATAGTTCTCTACATTTTAAAAATAGACAAAAGATGACATATGGTGGCCGTGGGGTTAGCCCCAGATATTATCTTTCATTTTCAATAACTTTTTTAATCGCTTGGCCGCCATATTGGATTTTACAAAAAAAACCCAATCAAATCAATTTTCAGCCGCCATTTTAATTCTGATTTTCAAAAGCTTTTTTTGTATTAAACCTACTCCAAATGGCAACAATCTTTAGGGAGGCGATTTTTGAATTTCGATTTTGTTTACTTCCGGTTCCACTTTGAAGTTTGTTCGACTTTTCACCATCTAGATGGTGACCTAATCTTTCCATGATCCTTGACCTTTGTATGTATGATGACCCCGATGTCTACTAACAATTAATATAAAAAAGTTTGGTCATAAAGTACGACTTCCTATCCTATTAAGAGTTCAAAATGACAGGATTTTTCACTTTATTAGGTATTGGATGTTACAATACCCAATAATTTATGGTGTAACTTGAATGTTGATGTGATAAGGCGTGACGTGACATACCGAAACACATCGGTACTCCACTCAGTAGTTTTTTTTTTATATTCAGAAAGAAATATTTTTAATAATTTGTTTATAGATTTTCACCACAAGTATATTAAGGATGTAAACAGGTAGTCGGTCAACCGGACACAGTTCATTGTACAGGTGAACTTGATCGAAAAATTACATGTACAAACTGATACTCGCTTTTCATATATCTGACACAAAAAATGTTAGGTACATTGGTACCTAATCAAACTTTACATCGATGTACAGAGCCTTGTTGAGATATAACCAATTTCTTGTCCCACTGTCAATACAGTAGGCCAAAATTTTAACTAAAATTGGTAAACAAGCAGACTTCTACATAATCATACAAAACAAACATTTTAATTATAAATGTAAATATTGACTTCCCTGCCTGGTTCCTTGAAGAAAGTTGATATATTTCAGACAAATATATTTATATATTCCAGGAAAACCCAAAAAAGTCTCAAATTACTGTTCCTTAGACCGTCTCAAACCACCTGAGTTATGTAAATAGCTATGCATATTATAGAACTGTATGTACCAGTTCTTGGGGTGCCAAAGCTATTCATGTAACCCAAGCAGTTTGGATCAGTTTAAGGAGCACTAGTTATAGGGTTCATTAAAGAAACCATAAAATGGTAGAATATTTAAAAGCCATTAGAAGTGATGGTTTACACTTGTTACCATGCGGTTAAGATAAGACTATTTAACTCTAACTGATTGATTGATAACTAATTAGTAATAATCTTAGATTATATCTACATCTGATCAGAAATCCACATTATGTAAGCTTTCATGTCTAAAAAGAGGGTCCTAAATAAAAAAAATTCAATTCATAAAAACAACTCTTACTAGTTCTGATTCTATAAAATTAATGTAACTGATTAGGCCTACTCATTACTATTGAAATGTTTTTTTGTTGGTTGATCATAACATGTCTAAACTGTTTACAGGATAATTTGGTAAAAAAGATATGACAGGTTATGATTATGATTCCTCCTGAGTACGATTCAATCTGGTTACACAGTGACATTATACATCCCTCTCATATCAATTGGGTCAGGTGATTAATTTTGAGGTAGTTCCTAATAGTATTAGCTACATGTATGTATAACAAATTACATTTTACTATCAATAATTCACAAAAAATAAGAAAGGGAAGAGTATCTGGTTAATTAGAAACGGTGTGATCCCACAGTTTGAGCAATTATTGTAACAACATTTATCACACAATAACACATTCTACAGTAGATACTGCTTCTGAGATAACTATCATATTCTACTGGGTGATAAACAAAAACTTCTACTCGTTCTTTTTTACATTATCGACTTGTGTTGATATTTTTTTATATCAAAAAGGACTCATAGGAGATTGACTATTTCAAATACATAATTTTATTTTGATTTCAGACTATCCTTAGTCATAGAGACAATAAGACATTGTGAAATAAAAGCAAATTGTTATTCTATGTTTCTTTGGCAATATTTATTTTAGGCCCACTTGTCTTGTAATGTAATCTTGTAGTTTTCTTCCAGTTCTAACATATATAAATTATAAGGTCCAGGGTCCTAATATTAATGGACAAGAGACATTATTATAAACAACAAGCTTCTCAGTCATACCAGTTTTCTACCCAGTAGATTGATCAATTGAGAAAATCAATACATCACAATGTACAAGAAAAGCTTTAATACTTAGTTTATAGGATATGACATGCTTGCCATGGTGAAATGAAACACAATATTGAATATTTTTCGCCCACCTGTACCATTCGGTTTATTTATGTCAATCGATACACAATATTCAAAATTGTTAAGAAAACACAATATTTTATAATAATTATGCATTTACTACAATCTATTATCGTATTTCATTTCATTTTGTTCGTGTCGAGTTCATTCCAAGCTGAGTGTACGAGTATGCCAGTAAGCAGTAGATCTATTGGGTATTATATTATCGTTTAGAAAATGAGTAATGACATTTATTGTCATTATTGGTGTCCTCGCAGTCTATCTATTTCTTCCCGCTTTGGAAAGTTATAATATCGACTTGTTTAACATTTAGGGAAACCAAATCAATTATCAAGATTTGTGATAAATACTTACTATTCGTATAGTAACATGTTGTCTTGGAAATATTCACTTCTTCAATTTCAACACGGGGAGTTAACGGAGGTCTAATTCATGACGTCACAAACCGGCATAGTGCCCGTGATATCTATTTCCGGTTACTGATTTATGTCAGATTTAAGAATAATGAAGATAGCCTCAAACTACAGTAAATGGTTAGAGTTTGTCATTGGAAACTGGATTATCACTGTCCTGATTTAAGCTTGTTATAAAAGGACTGCTGATCAAATAAACAGCTCAGCACCAAATTGTTAAATGGAGTTCCCTCCCTTACATTAATTCTGTAAGGAGAGAGAGAAAGAGAGAATTGGTTTAACGGCCACTCGACACAAACTAGGTCATTTCGGGGCAAACATATGGTTCAATTTTATTTTTATAATTCGCTTGCGCGTAGGGGTCTTTAGCAGTGGGAGAAAACCTGAGTACCCGGAGAAAACCCACGAGGTTTGACAGGCGACCCTACTCCTTGTCACGTACAACCGGGGAATAGAAAGTAAAGGAGATAGGATGAACTTATGATGGCCAAAGATGTACGCTTCAGTCAGATCTAGCCTCATGGGTTTTGGCACTGGGTTTTCTCTAGCTGCAATTTTTAGCCGCTTGGTTGGAAAGAAAACAACAGGATAGAATTGTGGCATCAAAATCCACAAAATTAACCGCTTCAAATGTCTTAAAGCAATTAGAAAATGGATCTAGCGAAGGAGAAAGTGATATATAAGGAATGGCGCTACATATCTTATCTATGAAGTAAAATTATGCATGTTATATCATGCCGACACGAAATATCCTGTTATTCCTATACAATTTTTTCATCGTAAGCCCTAAAATATACTAACTAACACATGCCTCTTTTCCTGTATTTCAGATTCATCAGCTGATGAAACAGATTTTGATGTCATTATGTCAGTGTTTCCACTAGAAGATACAACTGTTCATGTTTTGATGTCATTATGTCAGTGTTTCCACTAGAAGATACAACTGTTCATGTAGTAGATCTGATGATTTAAACCTAACAAAATTAGAAGACAGAAATATGAATACGGAAACCGATGGTTTAAAAGATAGAAATAGATACCGGTATATAGATAATTTAAACCAGGTAGAATTAAAAGATAGAAATGAAAAAATAGATGTTTTAAACCAGGTTATATAGAATTAGAAGATAGAAATGAAAATATATTAGAATATAGAAATGAAAATATAGATGATTTAAACCAGGCAGAATTAGAAGATAGAAATGAAAATATATTAGAAATGAAACTACATGTATATTAGAAGATAGAAATGAAAATATATTAGAAGATAGAAATGAAAATATAGAAACCGATGATTTAAACCTAACAGAATTAGAAGATGGCACTAAGCCAAGAGAAAGAAAGAAAAAATATCTAAAAAGAAAGATGAAAGTGAATGGAAAAGAAATAAAGATAAGATAAGGAGAGTTAAAGGACTCGAATACCAAAGAAAGGTTCAGTAATGAGTGAGAGAACGATCGGAATGAAATGCAATTCGTCATTCTGTAAGAAATCTAGGAAAAGAGGTTGTTCAGAAATAATAGAAAATATGAGAAGAGATATATTTACTAAGTTTGGGGTTGAGTTGCGTGACTTAGAGAAGCGTCCAGTTTTTGTTTCAGCTTTAATAAAACGAGTTGATATTAAACAGAAGTGGGTTCAAGAAGAAATTTTTCGTGGACGTATCATCTTCCACATGTTGGTAAATCGTATCAGGTATGTAAGCAGATGTTCTCCTCCACATTAGGAGTATCAGATAGAACACTTTCAAGTTGGGCTTGCCCAATTAAGAATAATGAAGAAAATGTTGACCCCATCGATCCGAACACATCTTTGGAAGTAATCTCCGAAGAAGGCATAGAAGCGGTAGAGAAACCAACACGGTAGCAAGCAATAAAGCTAAATAATTTGATCTAGAATTTCTTAATCAGTTTCTGTCATCACTTTCGACAGTAGAATCTCACTATTGTAGTGCTGTCTATATGTGGACCAAAGGTTTCTGGAGCCTGGTACTTCAGTTATGAATATCTACCAGGAATATGTAGAATCTGCTAAAGCAAAAGATACCCATGCCCTAAGCTATCCAATTTTTCATCGCATTTTTAACAAATCTAGATACCCTGTATTTGTTGCCAGAAAGGACCAATGTGACGTATGTATTGGTTTCAAGTACCACAATATAGCAGCATCAGTATATAATAATCACGTCCTCACAAAAGCTGCTGCTAGGAATGAGAAGAGAGGTGACGTACTTATCAGTTCTAAAGATGAATCTCTGCCTGTGTGGTCCATGGATTTACAAGCCGTTCTCCTATGCCATAAAACTGATGCAAGCTGCATGTACATGTATTACAAAACAAAACTAAAAGCACACAACTTTACGCTTTACAACATGAATTCACGTGATGGTTACAACTATGTATGCATAGGCGTACGGGGAAATTTTTGACTGGGGGGGGGGGGGGGCGGTGGTGGTTGGTGCCCCAAAAATGTTGTTAGGTTCTTAGTATGTTACATAATAATAATAAATTCGCTGTTAAATTGGACACATTCAAGAACACAATATTTTTTTATACAGCTTTTACAAAGTGTGCCCAAATTTTCCCAGCTCGTACGCCTATGTATGTATGGGGTGGATCTAATGGTGACCTATCTAGTGATGTATTTGCCTGGCTCCAGTACTCACAGTCCAAGCAACATTAGGAAAAATCCCCAGAAATAGAAACATTAATAATTTGGGCAGAATGGCTGTGGGTACCAAAATAGAAATTCTGTTGTATCTAGAGCATATTATCATCTCGCACATAAAATGGGAATTACCATAATTCAAAAATTCTTGGTTGCTGGGCACATCCAAATGGAGTGTGACTCCATGCACAGCACATTGAAAGGAAAATAGTCCACCCTATTTACTCCCCAAGAGATTATGCTCTCATTATGCAGGTCGCAAGACAGAAGCCTAGGCCATACATTGTTTGACATGTTGACTATACATATATTAAACATGGGTTTCCGCAAATATCTAGTATGCGTCCTTGTAGGAAGGTCGGGGGCCCAACTGTGCACACCCTCAGAGCTTTAAAGTATTCAGTTGACAATCTTTTCACCCGATTACATTTTATTACATACTTCGAGAAGGTATTTGTTGAGTAATAAAACCTTCTAGTAGTTTATCGAGGGCTGGCCGTCCTTACCGCACGGTACAAATATTATCACCACTAGAAGCAACAAATTCCAGAACAAGCCAGAACTCATACCAAAATGGCCGCTTTATACAAATGAGTATTTAGGGGAATACTAACCCTAACCCTAACCCTTTTAAGAGAAGTAAAAACTAAATTAGACCCAAGTTCAGTCTTTTAAAAAGGGTTAGGGTTCGGGTTAGTTATCCCCAAAATTCTCATTTATATAAAGCGGCCATTTTGGACTCCGGAAGCACCCGAACCTCGATAAACTACTAGAAGGTTTTATTTGTACCGTGCGGTAAGGACGGCCAGCCCCCGATAAACTACTAGAAGGTTTTATTACTCAACAAATACCTTCTCGAAGTATGTAATAAAATCTAATCGGGTGATCTTTTGGTGATCCCTGGCAATCACTACCACAACGCTTACCTGTCAACACGGATGCCAATATCTTGAATCGTTATTGAAGAGAAAACTGCCAATAACCAAAAGAAAGTTTGAATATCTCCAAGCTCTCAAAACAGTTATTCCGTCTGAGATTCATGCTTTTTATGACAAACTCCCGTGTGAGTGAAATCTGCCATAACATTGTAAAAGCCTATGTATATTTACTCATTTAAAATAGTCAATTTTAAGATGAGATCCTTATGCATGAACTAATGAAATAATAATTCACATTATATCTTAATTTATTCAATGTTTATTTTTTTATTTGAATCCATGATGATAAAATTTATTGTTGTTGATTAAAACATTTTTATTGTTAGCTTGCAGTGTACTTAATGATATTTTGTAATTTGTTTGATTCATAAAGAATATTCACGCAGTTACATTAGCTAATGATAAGGCGATTTATGACATCGTTCATAATTGGAGTTACAAAACAAAATTGTGGGCAACATGCTACTTTTTCACCAATAGACAGTCATAAGCTTTTCGGCTTTTACACCCATTGTCATAGAATTCCATCCGCCAAGTGTTCATTTACGTGCACGGCAATGAAAACACATGACCTATTTTTATCGTCCCACCCGGATGACAATAATCTGATCCATACCACATTTTGGTGAACCGTATTGAACCCCGTTCAAATTTAGTAACAATGCAAACACGGCGTATTTCATCCTAGCCACGATTGTTCAGTTAGTAAGACGCTAGCTCGCTAGCCTCCGGGTCGCGGGTTCGCAACCGGTGTTGGCCAAGAAAGTTTTTTCCGTCGGGGTTTCCCCTTGTCAATGGTGCAAGACGGAGGGCCTGATAAAGATAGTTGTCTAGTTGTTCAGATGGGGCAAAAAACGAGGTCCCGTGAACACATAAATGTGCACGTAAAAAAAACCCTTGGCAGGCATTCGGTATATAAAGACTAGGCCGTAGCGCCACTGTGCGGGCCAAATTTCCCTCAAAACACACTGTATGGCGTATATCCGTCTTCATTTCATTTTGCTTATTTCATTTATTTGTCACTATAAAGATGAAAATTCACCATTCCTGTTATTTTACCTATTCTAGCAACTTACGTTGTCCAAGCAATCATCTCGAATTGATTCTTGCATAGAAACCATTAAGGTTACTTCAACCATATTGTTGTGATCAAACGATTTATATGGCTTACTTTGACCATTTGGAGATAAATTCAATTCAAATATATTTCCATGACAGTCCCTACTTGACTTTATTGACCACAGTCATGCGACATTCGGGTTACTTAACGCCATAATACACTATGATTAATTTAATGACTACGTCATGTTTCCTATAATAATAGTCAAGTGAGGCAAGAATTGCCTAAGTCAGGTTTGTGCAAATACAAATATTGCCTAAGTCATTTAATAACATAAATGCACAAATTACAAAAATGTCCATCCGCTAAAGATCATATTAATGTAACGTAAAGCAAAATTT